CGATGCGACGAAAAAAAAAGAAGAAAAGAAACAAGCGCTGCATCGACGTACGATTTACGACAGGTTTCCTCGGGATTTTACGACACCTGCGGCAATTTCGAAAAGAGACGTCTCTCTTTCACCTCACCGAGGATGAGAAACGCGGCGTTATTTCCGGAGATCGTTCGACGCAGCCTTTTCCATCCTCAATTTGACGTACCAGCATGAGACACGATTCACTCACGTTCTCTATCAATATCATTTCAATATTAATTTGCCTGCCTTGTGCGCCTGCCCTGAAGAAACTAAATTACGGACTCTCTACAGCCTTGGCAAAAAATATTTGCCACCTGTGTGAAGCCTCAACAACTTTAAATTATTTTACATTCAGGTTGAACAACCAATACCAGTTGATGACTTTCAGTTTTTTTTTTACAAGAATGGTGTATCGCACAGTACTGCGAGGATATTTCACTATTTTTGCGATTTGTTTTATTTTTCCTTCCTCAAAAAGTAACAGCATTTTCGAACGTTTAGCTAAATCCAATTAGCACGTTTCTGGCGTTTTTGTAGCAAAATAATGTTATTCTCTAAAGTAAGTCCCTTTGCACTCCGAATTATATTTCATCAATTTTCATCTATTGGTTTGGACTTGAAAAAATGTCGAGTGAGACTCGACAAAGGAGCTCCTGAGATAAAAACTGATGTCGAGTCACACTCGACATGGGAGTGCAAAGGGTTAAGTTATTCTGTGTTTAGCGATACGCTAACAATATAGAAAATAACAAGGGGTAATCTTCAGTGTCGCCAGTGGTAATTAAAAGACTTTAAAGATGACTTGACCGTGTCTGATAATTTTTATGTTCATAACTCACAACGCTTCGACCGTGGTTTGTGGTCCTTTTCAAGTGATACATTATCAAATATTCAGTGCAACAAATTAAAGGAACGTTGTTGTGAATTACAAACATAAAAATATGCCAGACACGGTCAAGTCATCTCTTTGAAGTATTTTAATAGTTGGTTAGAGTGAAAAGAAGTTACAGTTTTAAGAATCGAAGGGATGGCAAGTACTTTTGGCCACGGCTGTAAATAACAATCCAGCGTGTAAACAGCTCATCTGGATTTTAAACCATGAGATTGCATTTCTCGCGCCAATTCGCGCCAGCGCGCCGTGACAGCCGTTTCTCACGTTAATCGATCCGCTTAATCAATCATCACCCGCTGAAAAATCCGCGTCCGAGGACTCGCCGGCGGCCGTGCATCTCGCGGAGGACTCGCCGATACGTCGGCAGCGACGAGTACACAAACGGCGAAAGGAGGGCGAGCGTTCACGGTCGTGACGCAAACGGATCAGCCGGTGCTAATATCGGTAGTGGAACGTGACGACGCCGAGACGAAAAGAAAATGCGACGGGAAAATAAAGGAAAAGACCGGGGGGGGGGGGGAGGAAGGAATAGAAACGAGGGGGAAGAGAATAGCGGGCGATGGGCCGGTATCGCCACGGACAATTTACCGCGGCCTATTCCCCCGGCTTTAATCGATTCGCACGGTGTGCCACTTCGCCTTTGCATTTGTCCACAGACGGGCGAATTCGCGCCGAGCTCTCTTCTTCTCGCGTCCGCGTGTAGGACGGAATGAAGGAATCAATTAGCGGTCCCGCTTTAATCGCGACGCCGACCGCGACGACGGCTCTTCCCTCAAAGCACGAGAGAAAGAAGCCCCCTCGCGCTTTCATCGCGCGACTCATCAGCCGAGCGTCGAACGTGTACGAAATGCAAAGGAGAAGGAAAAAAAAAATGAACGGAGTAGCGTGATATTTCATTAATGTCATCTTAACGATCTAATTATTTCCCCATGTTTTTCCCTCGCGAGGGAATCAGATTAAATGCTAATGTTGGTCGTTTCTTTACTTGTAATTACTTATCGGTATTACTTGTACTTGCTCTCTTCTCTCGCTACAATTTATCGACGATTACCGTGCTTCGTACGCACTAGCCGTAGGTTATTAGTGAATTATTCAAGGAGCTCGGTCTTTTTATCGAATTATGCTCGCGATTTTAATCACCGAGCCTCCGGGCGATCACCTATCTCGCACTTGGAGAACGCTCCTGGTTCGCCTGACTTTATTATTCCGAGCTATCTCCTCCTCTTCATCTCGCCGCTTCTCTGAACCGCTATACTCACGAGCGACAAACGGACCAACTTTTGTACAGAGTAAACATTTAGGTATGCGGACGTGAGACGCAACGGCGGGGAGATAAGAGGAAGCGAGAGAGAGAGGAAAAAATGGGGTATCGTAACGAAAGAAGAATCGCGCAAAGTAAATCCGGCGAGGTGACTCTCCGAGGCGAGGAAGGCCGAGGGAACGCGATCGCGTTTCGGTCAACGACCGCTTTATAAACGAGCGTTTTGTAGCCCGAGCTATGCGGTGGATCACGCGGCACGCGATGACATTATTTTCAAAGTCGGGCGGTTTTACGCCTCTCTTTCTCTCTTCGTGGTCGACCCGGCCTCGGAATCCGGAGCCAGGCGGGTGAAGACCGAAGACTTAGCAATTGTTGACTCGGATCGAATTGGAATTGGCGATCGACGATTGTCCTTCGGCCAATGAGCAGCGATTTAATCGGCTCTCACTGGCTAGACGATTGTCTTCTAGCCGATGAGAGCCGATTAAATCGCCGCTTCGCTCTCATTGGCCGAAGGACAGTCGTCGATCGCCAATCCCAATCCAATCCGAGTCAGCGATCGCTAGTCCGATTCGGCCTTGACGCGAATCACCGATTATGGTCGACGTATTATCGCTGAATTGTGTCGCGGATCTCGGAAATGAGAGAGAGAGGGGGGGGGGGAAAGGAAGAAGGTATGGAGAACGCGGGCGAAATTCGCGAGGTTCCAGCCACAATTAGAGCGTTCACCCGTGACTGGCACGCCGCGAGCGACGCTCGGAAACTCAAAACGGGGCATTTCGGACACGCTTCTCCGGAAAGCCGTGGAATCCTCGTCCTGTCCGCGTTCTTCCGCGAACCACCGTCATGGTTTTTCCCTTCGTTCATGCTCGACCGAACGTTTTACCGCAGGATGCGGTCGATTCCCCGAGACCGAGATGTACCCCCGACCCTTTTCTCGTAAGGACACCGTTGACTTGACTACGCTAAAAAACCGCGTCGATTAGCGGTCGCGGTCCTTACGTTCCCTCGCGAGTTAGTAACCTTCTTATTTCATCAAAAAATACGGGGAAGAAAACATTTATTTGCAATCGCCGTCAAAGATACCTCGGAACCTTATCAGCGAATTCGGTTGCGTGCACCGGGTGCAAACTAAGGCTTGTTTACGGTCAATTCTTAGATTTAACTTTGTCTTAAATACATGTTCAAAAAGTACTTAGGAAAAAGAAGGAAAAAGAAATCCGTACGGATGCTGTACAGATCACTTCACTGGCTAAGAAATATTTCAACGCGGGAAAAAAATCTAAAAATTGCACGTGGTAACTAAATTTCGGTTGTAAAACATGGACAGCTGATATTTAGTTGTGATGCTACTTCGCTACTGTGCTTGTTGTATTGGGTGCGACAGCAAGCCGTCTGCTGTGTTTTAGCAATTTATAGTTATGCAAAATATTTGTAGCAAATCATGATTAGCTATGGTAGCGAAACTTTTCAGTGAAGAAATATTTAAGACGATTCTTTAACACAAAAATTGACTGCGAACAAGCCTCAGTGTGCACTCGGTGTGCGCGCTGGTGCAATCGAACGGTTTCGCTATTATTTCGACAACAACACTTCCGTGTCCACGGAGCGCGAAGGGCGTAGGTAAAACCTACGTGAACTCAGAGCGAGCAATTATTTATTCGGTCTCTGTTAGAGCGTTTCGAGAGTGGGGATCGGGCGAGATGATGGCGACGTAAACGAGATAAACGGATACGCCATAAAGACGAGCGGGACCAGGCGATGGCAAAGAGGGCTATCGTCGACGGCACATAGTCTCACGTTCCAGGAAGTTGGCCGGCGATGGATATCCGCACGGACCATCTTGTACTCTATCGATACACAGCGTACCTCGGCCTGGCGCTGTGGCCTTTCTTTCGTCTCCTCTCCCAACTCCGGGCATTCCGCATTTTTTTGCATGCCCCTTATTCCTCTCCGTAGTTCGCCTCCTTTCTAACAATTTCCATCACGCGATTGGCACCGTGTAACTTCCCCGCCCGAGATAAATACCGAGGGCCCGTCCCACGAGATCGGCCTGTCACTTTTTGAGACAGTTGCATCTTCGCACTCGGAGCGATTATTGACAAGCGGAACATTTCCGTGACGCGACGAATATCGACGCGCCCCTCTTTCGACGAGGAACGCAGTTTCTCTCCTCCACCTAAGCCCGAACGAGACCGGGTCGGATATTGGAGCGGCAGTCTGGGCCTGCCGGTGCCTTTCCTAATTTACATATTAACAATTAAGCGAGCGGGATTACGAAGGGAAAGTGCAAATTCGCAGAAGTGAAAAGCCGCGCAATTGTCCCGCGGCACAGAAACATTGTTAATGAGGTACCGCGCGCAACGTGCGGCTTCGTTTGCGGCGCAATTGCGCCGGGAGTAACGATGTGCTCGTTCGCGATCGGGCCCGCGGATCTATACGCGCCCGTCGAAATAAGAGAAAACAGCATTTTTCATAATCAGACCAAGTCGTCCGGCACGTAGAGATCGCTCTTACTTCCCAGAGAACATCGAGTTCCTAGAAAACATCTCGGGGGCCCGTGTTTATTCGTGATTGGAGGATGCAAACGCGGCAAGTTGAGCAAACACGTGGATTACAGCTATGTCAATCGACGAAAGAGCGCGGTGTTACTTTCTAGGAAGGGACCTCCCTCTAATGATAGAGCCTCGCTCGAAATCGGATCTACGGGATTACGCTCGATACCCGGAAGGTCGTTTTACTCGTCACGCCCATTCCTCGTAAAATCGCGCGACGTATCATTACGCGCTTTATTGCCAAAGTGCGAGGCACCTTATCGATACGACTTTGCAGACGGGGGTACGGCTGCCGGAGGGGGCGAGCGCGGCCCTCGCGAAACCGACCAAGTACCACTACTACCCGCACAATCAGCACATCTACCTGCTACCGGAGTGCGCCGTCCAGCAGGTGTGCAACGCCGTTTACGTCCGATTGAACTTCACCCAACCGCTGTGCGCCTGTCCCGGAAGATACCGGGACCCCTGCAGCGCGTCCCTGGACAGCGACGACCTGCACACGACCGAGCTGGTGACCGATCCGCGAACCAAGGTCAGTCGAGACGCTCGGAGCCCGAGAGTTTCATCGAAAGTCCACGCGGGGAGGATTTTCTTGCAAAATTTATCCTGAACATCGATCAGACATTTTACTAGTAAAAAATATGGTAAAATGTTAAAAGACTCCCATAAAATTACATGATTTTCAGGATAAATTTTAAGGGCCAGCTTCGCAAACGTCGGTTAACCGTTAACCAGAGTTCAGTCGACTCCCTATCTTTTTCCATCTTATTATTTAAGAAGAGACGGAGAATCCAATTAACCTTCGGTTAGCAGTTAACCGATGTTTGTAAAACTGGCCTTAAGAGAAAATTCTCTTCGTCTAATTTTCATAATAATTCTTAGACGAAAGTTCTCTATTATGAGATAGGATTCTAATGTGAGATAGTAGGTTTTCGACGTCCAAATTCAATGACAAATCTTGTTTCGCAACGAATACACGATCTAACAATGAACTTTCCACTAAACAGATTTCGCTCCAAGAGCAATAAATCCATGGTGGAGTCAACTGATGACGCCTGGTAACTTAACAGAAACCCCCTAACATCACGTATTAGAATCCTACCTTAATTTTTTTATTATCGTAACGTATTATGCATTTTGTTGTAAAACTCATTTTGCACGAAAGGCTGAGATATCCTACGGTTATTTACGTTTCATTCGCGTATCTTTAGCGATGTCTGTGCCTCAGATAAGACGATATTATGTAAATGACACTTGGCAGCGCGGTCTCTCGCGGAAACGCGCGGATCGCGAGATATTTTTAGCAGCGCTTCTGCCGCAAGAAGGAAGAGAAGAAGTCACGTGGGAACGGCGTTTACTCGTTTACGCGGCCGCGAATCGCGGGTAAAAACGAACGTGCGTACGATCGAGGGGTTTCCGTTCGGGCCGCAAAACTAAAAGTTGCCGTTCCTCTAATGCGACGTTTTATTTTAACGTTTCAAGCGTCGAGCTATTACGGAAACGGTACCGAGGCTTGGCGCCAATTCCCGGCACGATCGACCGGCTCTCTCGAGGAAGAGCTCTCGCAGCCGCTCTTAACGCGAGTTTCCTGCCGCGAGAAAAACTCGTTCACTTTCGTTCGGTGTATTAACCGTGACTTGCACACCGACGAGTCGCTGCACGAAAAGACCTTTTTTTTCCTGGCCCCTTCCCTTTTCGAGCGGGCCTAAAATATTCATCCCGCGCTTCCCGTACGCCTGGCTCTCTCGCGTAGACCGCTTTCACATAATTTCAGTCTCGATCGGTTATATTCCTGCGGCTTTATTATTATAACGTATCGTAAAACGTTACGTACCGCAACGTTACGGCTTTGCAATAAGGAGAGGTTCTCGTACCGCGTGACGATCTCGGAAGAGATAATCAATGTAATCAATGACTGCTCAGACACGCTAATCGCATCCCGCTCGGGTGACACGATAATGCTTCATCTTAAACTGTTAAGATGGCTCTAACGTGATGTATTTGCGCTAACGGGATTATGCAACGTGCGATTTATCTAATCGGAAGGAAGAGACCCGTGCAAAAGGGAGAAGGAAAAAAAAAAAGAAACGCAACACCCACTCATCGTGGCACATGTTCGTTCCAGGCCTTGACCTTGGTGAAAACGTGCGAGCCGGTCGCCGAGATGCGAGAGTGCAGAGCGTCGCGGGACTGGTCCCTGCTGGCGCTGCAGAACGTGCGCACGGGAAAGTCTCACTATCTCGTCATATGCCGATGTCCCGACACTAACATACTCGGTGAGCGAAAGACTCCGGAGTCCCCCCCCCCTCCCCCACAGTTTATCCAATTTCGAAGACAAAATGCAAAGTTGCGTGCAACGTGACGAAGGGCTCCCTTCGTACACGTTGGACGGAGCCACCGAGCTTGGTTGATATGCCGAGAAAAGCAACAGTTTATCTAACCATCATCCTCCTTTTCCCGCAGAGGGACCTATGAGCCACGATCAGCCGACTTACGCCAGCGTCCCGGGCATTCGGGTGTACGGAATGATGTGCGTGCAGGGAAACAGAAGGGGACGACCGCTACGATATTCGCGCAGTGTTTCTGGTATGCATTCTAGATTTCTCGTGTCGTTTTTATTTTCCTCCCCTCGAAACCTTGTCAATCTCCCCGATTTCTCCGATGCGAGAATTGTTGCGAACTGACACGTACGTTCGATGTGTTAAACAGAGCATGCAGAGGATGAGAAGAAGCCACGCTTCCCCTGGGACAAGGTGCGACAGCTGATGGCGACGCCGTCTTTTTGGGAATAGTTTCGCGACGCGATGTCCCGCCCCGTATCTGCCATCGACGAATTTACGCGTTAATTTATAATGCTATTATATTTATAATTCTCCCAGCCATTCGAATCCCATGCTCGAGCTCTCTTCATTCTCTCCCCTATCTCGTTTCCCTTTTTATTACTCTCACGCTTCCTCAACCCTCGGACGGGCGCGGCGCGGTGTGGGGTAAATTGATTATTTGAATTATTGATTTCCTATATCATTTCGATTGTCGATTATAGAAGGCAAAGCCGGAAGACTTCTAGAAATTTTGAAAGCACACGCCAGCGTGTCCGCGCGAGGGTTGATAGACACGATAAGAAATCGCCTATGTGACTTGTACTCTCATCTTCACTTACTTAATTACTTTAAGCATATTTATTATTCATGGTTTCTATGTTATTTGTCATTTGAGCCGTCGATTAATTACACACGATATATGATTCGATAATTACGATAAGGAAGACGAACGGCCTTGCCGCCTGAACGAGTGTAAAGAGCTGCCTGATCGCGCGTGATTTTAAAGAGGAAATAGGGAATATACGTGGTGCCTGAACTCTCGGCAGGCAACATGTTAAAATCTACGGTCTTTTCTCTCATTGCCGAGTAAGATGCCGGGTAAAATATGTCAGTTGCTAGATATTCCAAGTAGCGTTTGTTCATTCTTTCCAATTTAACTCACTGTGTCAACAACGCAATTTATGGGACGAGAGACATTGACGTAGATATTTCGAGTCACGCGTTTGCGACTACGTGATTTGAGAAAAACTCGGAAATGTACGTGGTCGATCGTACTTAACGTACGTGACTAATCAGTAAATATTACACATAATTACCGAGAACGTCGGAGTTGGCTAAAACGCTACAGCTGTACATCGCCGTCATCAGTCGGGGGTGTCGCAGGCTGAAGATCCGTCGACAAGCCTCTTTGCACGCCGACATTAATTGACCGCCCAAGTGTCCCTGGCTCTGGCCACCGGAATCGCTGCAACGTTTCGTCATCTTACACCATGCATTTCTTTTTATACGCGCGTATTTAGCGTCTACTTATATAAATTCGTAAATAACGCGGCCGAATACGCGACCTCCTTGCTTAATTCCGCACACTATAAAACGTCGGTACTGTACGAAGACCGCGTATATCTTCCAGAAAGGAAACAGTTGCGATGCACGCGTCTTAACTTTGTCGCAAGAGTATCTCTTGATTCTTGATCGCAAGTACCGATACAAGACACTTGCGTTTATGTAATATTTATTATCTATTAACGAAAATTTACCTTTGCGGAGCCTGAAAGATTTCCCACTTCTTCAATACGAAACAGACGCCCATCATAGACTCTTCGCACAAGGGGCCGGCCAGTGTGGCAAATTGAAATCCGTTGACTATACTGTTATCATATCTGAAAAAAATTGATGTAACACATGTATTGTTATTATTCGGAATAAGTTTCAAGGAGGTAATCAAAGTGTACATCTCATACATATCTACTTGTTGCATTATATATTACAGCACTTATCCTTGCGATAAGTTTACATTAAATTATGTTCATCGTATCTGAAATGCTCGTCTATTTCAAGCAGGACACGCACAACGAAAAGTTTCTACGCTCCTTACAATATTCCTTCAAAACACTTACGCTGTTTGGAAGTCGACGTTCGTGCTTTGCTGCTCCCAGAACTTCTTTTGCCTGTAATCAGTCTCGTTCAGCAGGATATTCGGCCCGCATTTCCGTGGGCCAAACGACCATATTTTATCCAGCACATTGTCCTTCCAGCCCGCCTCGAGGAAGGCCGCTTCCAACTCGCTCTTGAATACCTTCGCCTCCTTCTGCTTTTTATCAGACATGGACATCTCGTTGGGTTGATCCTCGTCGGAAATGACTTCGTGCTCCCCGTTCTCCTCGGTGTACCTGTCGCGGTAGCTGTCCAGCAATTTTATCAGATTCGCGTTCCTCTCCAACAATTTCGTCACGTTTTCCGGAAGGGGTCTCGCGTCTATCTCGAAGCGACACTGCCGGTTCGCCGTCCAGACCTCGAGGTTGACCTCCGTCGCCTTCTTCTCGATCGCCTCGTTCACCATGTCGAGCTTCGGAGGTGGCACTATGGTCTCGCGAAACGGCACGATCGGGTCCGACACGTTGATATCGATCTTGGCGTATCTCAGCTTGAGATCCTCCAGGCATCGCTCGAGATGGACCTCGCCGGCGGTGCTCAGGACGATCTCGCCGGTCTCCTGCATGTGGACGATGGCGCAGGCGTCCGCCTGGTTCAGCAGCTTCAAGCCGTGGATCAGCTTCGGCAGGTCGTTGGGATGCTTGGGCTCCAGGGCCACTCTTAGTATAGGAACCGCGAGTGACGTTAGCTCCGTGAACGAGGGACAGGCGATCGTCGTCGAGAGGGTCGCGGTCTTCAAAACGTGCTCCTCCAGATCGCCGATTCCGAAAACGTTGCCCGCCGGCACCTTGCTCACGATCTCGAGCTCTCTCCCCATAAGAATGTACAATTTATTTATGACCACCCTCGTGATGTGCCTGCCGGGCCTGAGATCCTTGAGCACGAGGGACGGGTCCACCTCCTCGCCCGCCCTCTCGCGTTCCAGGGCGACGGTGGGATTGTGCTTCGGCCCCAAAACGAATACCTCGTCCCCGATCTTTATAGTCCCCGAATACACTCTCGCGAAGGCCACCAGGGTGCCGTCCAAGTTATCCTCGTTGGCTTCGTTCTCGCAATTTGCGTCCTGGACGTCATTGGAGACCACCGTGTCGCGCGTGTCCTCCTTGTGATTCTCAACGGTGGCGCAGGTCTGCTGCTCCAACCGCTCCGCGTGCTTCTGTCGGACGATCTCGCGCCTTTGCGCCAGTTCCTCCGGCGTCAGGGACTTGGGCCTGTTCTCGGGCAGCATGTCCCTCTCCGCCGGAAACATTTTCGAGACGAACGCGATGATCGGCGCCTCCGGCGATGGATCGCAGGCCAGGAACGCCCCTTTCAGTCGCTGCGTTTCCACGGGCAGAGCGGAGAAGTCGTTGTTCCCGCTTATCAGTCGCTCGATTTTCTCGTCGGTTAAATTTTGCGGGGTCGGAACGTTCTCGCACACCATGTCGAGGCAATTCCGTGCCAGGGGAAGCCACTGCGAGCAAACGGCCTGCAGCTGCGCCTTCGGATCCGAGTGCCTCAAGTCGCGCGTCGTCAATTTTATGTTCAACTTTTCAGCTATAGCCGGCAATTTATCCTTGTCCCTTCGTATCACAATAGTCTCGTACAGCGCCCAGATATTGTCCAGGATGAGCTGCACGAAAAGCGGCTTCTTAGCCTTCTCCTGGGCCCCCTTCATAATCCTCTTGGTCTTGTTATTTATGTAAAAGTCCCCCCACAGTGTCTTACGCAGGACCTTCTCGCTGAATCCCAATTTGTTGGAATAGATCTTGGCGAATTCCACGATGCCGAATCCCCAGCCGTCGATCGCGCTGGTGAAAAGAACGTTTCCCTGCTCCGGCGAGAAGTACAGATTCGAGTCGTCTAGCTCTTCCAGGACGGACTGCCAATCGGCCAGATCCCTCTCGTTCACCTTGTCCGACGTGGTCGCGACCGTCTCCTCGCGCTCCTCGCGCTCCATCACGTCGCTCGCGAACAGCTCGCCCATTATCGCGTTCACCTGCTCCAGGACCTGCGTCAGGCGCACGTAGGCGTCCAACGGCGTCAATTTCATCTCCGTGACGAGTCGGTCGACCTTGTTGAGCACCAGGATGGGCTTCAGACCCTCGACATAGGCTATAGACAGGGCGCTACGTGTCTGCGGACACACGCCCTCCACCACGTCCACCAGAATGACAGCCCCGTCCGACAGTCTGACCGCCGTCGAGACCTCGGAGGAGAAGTCCACGTGTCCCGGGGAGTCGATCAGGTTAATCACGTGGTCCGTCTCGCCGTGTACGTGGTGCAGCGTTATGGAGCTGGACTTCATCGTGATGCCGCGCACCTGCTCGTCCCGCCTGCTGTCCAGGTATCTGAGCTTGCCGGCCAGCTTGCCGGATATGATGCCGTTGCTCGCGACGAGGGAATCCGCCAGGGTGGTCTTCCCGTGGTCCACGTGCGCCAGGATACATATGTTCCTGATGCGCGCGGCGTCATTCTGTATCTCGCTAAGCTTCTCGACGCTGATGAGACGCATCGTTGCGCGGGACAACCGGAACACAGGCAAAATGCAAAGCGCTCTGCAGAATATATACAAATTTACATATATCTATATACCTATATCTATGTATATGCCCCTACGCTATCGTGTACTCTGAAATACCAGCGACAATTGGGAACTAACGGTGTAAACGAGCGACGGCAGCAGGGGCGCGTACAATATGTACATACAATTGTGCCTAGGCTTACTCTATATGTATAAAAGCGAGGTTAAGTTAATCGGACCGATCGCATTCGCACGCACGTGTCCAGCCGCGGTAAACACTATTTGAGTTTATTCTCTCTCCAACGGTGCGCGTAAGGCTCGTTGAACGCGAGGATGTAGCGTAGGTTGAACGGCCTCGCTGTCGTCGTGCGGAACATGCCAGCGGACATCGGTTATCGGCGCGGCGGAACGAGACACGCGGGCGCGTACACACAGACGCGGGCACTCGGGATCCTCGTCGCCTTCTCGTCTCCTACCGCTTCGTCCCGCAACGCGCTCGACTAGCCGCGGTCGGTAGTCGACGGACGACTTGACAATCGCCGCCCACTCGGTGAGGTTAGGGCGCGCCGAAACGTGGACTTTGCGCGCGTCGCTTCCTCGCTCTCGTCTCGCCTGGTTGCGCCCGACCTTCCACCGGCTCTACTCGTCTGCCACACGGTTCGAGCGAGTAGAATCTGACTCCACGATCAACGCTGGCCCGTATCGTGCGGAGATCCACGAGTAGTCAATCGTGAAACGTGCGGTTGCCGACGGCCATATTGCTTTGGCGCGCGGGGGAGATGCGCGGCTCGATCTGCGCACACGAGACGGAGGGAGGGAAAGAATGGATTATTCAATAGAAAAGAATTTCTTTTTCGCTCGGGCAAGGTCAGATGTAATTGACACGAGTCTAGTCGATGATCAGCCTATCGAGTCGATAACGCGCTAGTTGACTGATGTATCGAATTAGATTAACGCGTCCCCGGTGGAAATATTTCACCGAAAATACGAGATTTCAAGTGTACTCGAAAATCTCTTTCAACTGACCACGTTTTACCGTCATTTTCTTAATATTTCGGTAAAGCTTCCGTGAAAAATTCACTAAAAGTTTCATTAAAAAAAAACGCAATTTCAAAGGTAAGAAAAATTGGATATACAAAATGTTTTTTTACTTTAGAAATTGCGTTACTCTTTAATGAAACTTGTGGTGCATTTTCACGAAAGTTTCACCGAAATGTTAAGAAAATGACAGTAAAACGCGGTCAGTTAAAAGAACTTTTAACGAAGTTACAATTACAGTTACTTTTTTTTTATAACTCTAACTTAACTTCGTTACTTTCTCTTTCGATAACTAGTAACTAATTTAATAGTTACGAGTTACTTTATGTGTATTTTAAACCTCCGCAGATTGCATTAGGCCTTGCATTTGCGCATAAACGCCCTTATCGACGCTTTACAATTTAAATGCAGAGTTGGTATTTTTATTTTCATTGCAAAGGAGTAAGTGCAAAGTAACGATTCGTTATTTTTTGAGTAACTGTAACTGTAACGCGTTACTTTTCAGAATTGGTAACTGTAACTAATTATATTTTTAGCAAAAGAAAAAACTGCAACTGTAACTAGAGTCTTTTATAAAGTAACTTTCCCAACTCTGCTAGTAGCACAATATAGTGGCGCAATATTGAGAAATAATGTAAATCTAGTATTCCCAATATTGTAACAATTTTAGGCTAACATTCCTATTACGTTGTTAAATATGCCAATTAAATTGTTAAATAGGCCAGTGCACTTTCAATCTAATATTATATTATATAATTATTATCGTGCAATATTTACACGTATTCCATGGCCAACATTGGCTTTACGTTGGACAATATCGGCCAAATTTTTAATATAACATTGGGCCAATGTTTAGCCAATGCACTGTGCCACTAGGGTACATTTACGCTTACGTCTTTGTCATAAGCTGTTACGTTGCTCTGTTGTTATACTGTCGTTACGCAGGTATAACGTGCGGTAAAATAAAACCGTGCCACGACAATATAAATATAACGACGACACTGTCGTTAAGAGATGCAGAATAACAGGCCCGCGTTTCTCCACGCTCGTCGCCTAGAATGGAACTTGGCGCCTAAATCAAGCTAGAGCAAACGGGACAAAGAGAACAGTATAAAGTGTGACAAAAAGAAAGAACCCAATGCCGAGCTGTGTACGTGTCATTGTGTCACGTGCGATTATGTGACGCGGGGGAGAATTTCAGAGCGAACAATAGTATACTCGCTACCTGGGGCTCGATTCTTGAATTTATTCGAAGGAGAAACGTATACGAATATTCTGCTCTGACAGAAAAGTTGAAAGTCGATTGGTTAAAGCCATGCGAATAGCCAATCAACTTGCAACTTTTCTGTAAGAACAGAATTTTCGCATACGTTTCTCCTTCGAATAAATTCAAGAATTGAGCCCCTGGGGCTCGATCATAGATCTTTTCCTCTAGCGTAAACTTGTGAAAGATGAAAAGTTTCATTGAAGAATTCAATATTCGTCAATGAAATTTTTCACTTTTCACGAGTTCCCGCTAGAGGAAAAGATTCACGATCGAGTCCCAATATTTTTACGACTTCACGCTAAAGGAAAAGATTCAGTGGTCAAACCCACAGTGACCATCGAGTTTTCCAAGACAAACCCAAGAGGATCGGCAGATCTTATTGTTAAACGCTCTTATAAACGCTCGATTAGTTTTCTACCTTGTCCGATCCACAGCTTTATTACATTATGGACCGTAGGATTGAGGAGAGATTTGGTACAAATTATTTAAAAAAGAGAATTATGATATCGGAGCTTAATGAATTCGAACAATTCGACGATTCTTGCCGTGACCTCGAAGATTTGCACGTATTTCCGTATCTCTACAATGCCTTCCATAATATTATGCGAGAATGTTGCCATCGTGCGACTGAAAGTTTGTATGCAACTCGTGCTTCCTGTTTTCCAATTTTCACAGCGCGCGTTGATGCCAGTCGAAGACGTGTCTGTTACGTAAGAAGTAATTTTATTATCGCAACCACTGTAGATACGTGGGTACAATATACATAATATATTTCGAGGTGTTCTTTCCAAAAACAACCAGTTTAAACCTTTTATCACTAAGCAGTGTTATACATAAAAGTCCATTCCGTAGATTTATAATATACCTGCAAAGACCTGTCGGGGAAAAGTAGCACTATCTTCCAAACGAAACAATATATACGTCAGCACTAAAATTATCTTAATGGCTCATAATTTTTCACCTATCTTCTCTCGTGGTAATTTATGTTGCAAGTTTGTTGCCTTGTTGTGGACGTTGCATCAAAAAACTGAATAATCATTCGTTTTTAAGAAAGAAACACTTCATAAAAAAACAAACCGATGGAATACCTTGCTAAACACAAAGTAGTAGCAAAGTAGGAGCAACTTACGAGGGCGACTAACGAAACAGTGCATCGCGTTAACCGTTAACGAGGAACATTACAAAAAAAACGCGCGAATCAACTAGAAAGTGCGTCCGTTTGCGAGTCCGTCGAGTCTATCGAAGTTTTCAATATTTTCGATCTGCGAAGGGCTCGTCGCCTTAGGTTGAGCATTGTTTTTGCCACCAACCACACCGCGCCGCTTTCGCATATGTAGCGCAGTAAGTCTACAAAGCCGATGATCAGGCAGTGCGGTGGATAACCGGTTGTGTGCGCCTCGATTCCGATCGTTTTCAGCGCCGTTTTTACATACTTCTCGGGGCTGGGCGCCATCCACGATGTTTTTCTAGGGCACGAAAAAGAGGCAGATAAAGCACGACTGCGACAGCGAAAATTGAGCTAGTCAGGAAAATTTGAAATCCTACGAGCGTTGAATAAATAGAAATAAAATTATTTCACGAGCTTCTCCCGAGTCTTGGAAGCACACGAGTATGTTAAGGAGGGTCTTACTTGATCTTAGACATCTTTGTGGCGACCGGGCCGGGTAGGACGCACTGGACGACGACCCCTCTCGACGCAGCTTCCGTAGCAAGGTCGGCGCTGAGCTTGTTTATATACGCTTTACTGGCAGCATAAACGGTTAGATATGGGCTCGGTATAGCCGAGGCCGATGAACTCACGTTGATGAGCACCCCTTTTCCCCGTTCCATCATGCCGGGCAGCACCGCTCTCGCGACTCCGGTTATTCCGGCCACATTTAGCTGCAGTATTCTCGCGAGAATCTCCTCCGAAACCTCGGTGAACAGTTCGGGATAGTCGTAGCTCGCGCCGGCATTGTTGACGAGGACGCCGACCTGTTAACAAATATCTTCCAGTTTACTTTCCTCTCTCTCTTTCTCTCTTTATTAGAAAATAGTGTCGTTAAAGACACTTCCTGTCTATATTACTCTGTGAAATATTCAACTTGTTTCTTAATAAATTTTGTGTAAGTTATATTAAGTTTCTTACGTCCAAGTCTTGAGTAACTTTGGCGATTTCGGCGTAAACAACCTGGCCTTCGGTTAAATCGGCTTCTACGACGCGAGTCTCCACTTCATACTTGCGCTCAATTTCAGCGGCTACGTCCTTCAGCCTGGACAACGACCGTGATACCAAGACAATGTTAATATTCATCTCGGCGAGCGCCTTAGCGTACGCTTTTCCAATGCCGTCCGTCGCGCCCGTCACCACTGCCCATTTCCCCTGCGTTCGTAGATCGATTCCAAATCCAAGATTAGGAGCGATCAACTTCTTCCACGCCACAAAGCCGATCTTCACGACGATCCTTAAACCGGCGAGCGCTAATAACACTAGACATATCTTCTCCCACCAGAGCAGCGCCATTCTAAAATTCAAACAATAAAACTTGAAGTACGTTCCGTTTTACGCATGACGCATCATTTATCTTTAACACCGGGTGCATAATAAGAAAAAAAAGATGCATTATACGTGAAACGGAACGCACTCTTGGAAAGCTCGCTCGCTCGCTCGCTCGAGCTTGCTCTACAATTGCTCCGATTTAATCGCAGCACCGCGCACTATCAGACGTGACCCGCACGAAATCGGATGATCTGTTTCTCAAGATGGCGAGTTAAACGTCACCACTTCATTATGTATGTAAGAGAAACCTGAAGTCAAAGGAACCTGAATTTGATTATCGCCAGACGATTCAACTTATGCTTACTAGCCATCGCCGACGGACAATCATGACATGTCCCACGACCTCAGGCGACACGTTGTTGCTAACTTCGCTATTACTTGCACTTCTCTTCGATACTTCTATTACCTTGCCGTGAAAAAAACTTGCTGCTGCAAGATTACCCGCTTGCATTTTCATCTTACAATTAAAATTGTCCTATTTTCCTCGCACTTTATTAATCATCTCGCATTACTCGCACCAGTCTTTCATTTTTCGGCATTTAATTACGTATCGTAATTAATTTCCAGTCAAATATAAATAAGATAGTTTATGTAATTTATTCTGTATTCTTAAATGACGTAGAAAAGAGGGATATTTCGACTCATCTCTTTCACAAGGTGGTATCTCGATTTTACACCATTTATAATTTTTCTGTTTGAGCAGAAAACCCGAAAATTGCGTAAAATCGGGATACCACCTTGCGAAAGAGATCAGTCGACTTGTCGATCGCAATGATTCTGCATTTATGCGTTCGTGCGAAAGGGATGTTCAACGTTTCTTATTTTTCTCTGACCGCACTTTCATTTTTTTTACTTTGCATTGCATGCTTCTTACATACTTGTTATACGTTAACATATTGATATATACTAAATAATTTAATGTTAATTTCTATTATATGCAATATATATTAATATATAATATGCATGTATTATAATATCCTATTATATGCATTTGTACACGAGCATTGATAAATTTTCAACAGAATCTGCATTTCAAAAAATAATCGAAATGTGAAAAATCTGTCACACACCTGTAGCATATACACCGTCACTGGTGCCTCGTCATTTAAATACAAAAGATATAAATATAAATGTCAGAGCCACGCGATGCAAAAATTAACATATTCGATTAGTTAGATAAATAAATCAGATAGTCATCGTTATAGAAATTTGAAACATCGCGAGCAGCAGCCAAATTCTAATTGTTGAAATGTTCTTATCACGGTGCGTAATCGATAAAATTAAGAAAAATAAACGCTCGATTTTTTAGATCGATAATTCCGATGATCATCGTTCTAGAAACTTGAGACATCGCGTGTCGGGGCAAAGTCCTGTTTGTTTAAATATTCTTATCGCGGTGCATAGGCTATGAAATTAACAAAATTAAGATATCCGATTTGTTAGATTGATAATTCCAGTACTCGTAGTTATAGAAAATTGAAACATCCCGAGCAGCAGCGAAGTCCTAATTGTTGAAATGTTCTTATCACGCCGCATGATCGACAAAATTAACATAAATTAACACTGAATCTGTTAGATCGATTTCATCGATGAATTTTGTTATGTTGGATATGTTCATTCCGATGATCATCGTTCTATAAACTTGAAACATCGCACGCCGGGACAAAGTCCTACTTGTTGAAATATTCATATCACGGTGCAGAGGCTATGAAATTAACAAAATTAAGATATCCGATTTGTTAAATTAGATTGATAATTCCAGTACTCGTATAAAAAATTGAAACATCCCGAGCAGCAGCGAAGTCCTAAATGTTGAAATGTTCTTATCACGGTGCGTAATCGATAAAATTAACAAAACTTAACACTCGATTTGTTAGATCGATTATTCCGATGATCATCGTTCTACAAACTTGAAACGTCGCACGCCGGGACAAAGTCCTGTTTGTTTAAATGCTCTTATCACGGTGCACAGGTGATATCATTGTGTCATTTAGATAGCTGCACATTTCACGAAGAAAATTGTTGGCAGGCGTTTCTTTCAGTCAAGGAGAAATGTGCAAAGAACAGTTTACGCGCGTTAATCGCGTTGAACGAATTGAAGCTGCCCGATCGGCTGCTCTACATAATGTCGTAATTGAAAAATCCTTCTCGCGCGATACGGCGGAACAAAAACACGCAATTTCTTCATGAAACGGGCAGATCCGTGCGACCGCGAACTTGGCGATTTACAACTTTCTCCCCGCGTGTTTTATACTTGAATGCGCGAGGCGATCGTGCCACGACACTTTCTCACTTTCTCAACTGAACTCGACCTCTACTGGCAATCGACTCCTCTTCTGCCGGTCCTACCGATCATCGGATCACCCGACGATGAATAGTGAACTCCGTTCCTCACCGGGCGTGCAGCGGCTGACACCCTCTCGGCGACCGAATCAACAAATGTGCCCGATTGCTCGACAACTCTGTTAAATAAATACATTATGTACACGTATACATACATATATAAAGTTTTGGAGGGAAATGAAAGACAAGGTGGCAGCCTTGTCAGTTAAGTGGTAAACAAACCTTGAAAGGAACCCCAGGGTTACTTTCGAAAGGGCGAAAAGTCTGGTGGCTACCTGACTTGATGACTACCGGCGTTGAACTGCGTTGCGAAAGCGCTCGCGATCGATGGCTCGGTCGGAAATAGGAACGCTATGAGCGACGCTCCGGAGCACGCGCGCATGCAATGTCAGGGCTGAATGCAACATTCCCACTAGTCTGACGGAACGGAGCTTCCCGCCCCACCAGAAGAAGATAGCGGTATCTTCGTACACGTGGCCGAGCAAAAGGTTCGGCCAAAAGTAGACGATGAGGGAGGGCGAACCGGCCGCTGATGAATTGAGAAGCCGATTCTCTCTCTCTCTGACACACTTCGGGAGGTCCGTGGCCTCCTTTCGTAAAATCCACGATCTCTTCGATCGCCCAGTAATAAACTCCTTTCTTATATCGAGGCTCAGAGAAAAAAAAAACCGTATCACCTGGGCGTTTTTCATGCGGAGCGAAAACATACAGTTGATGTTTTACGCGTGTCCCTGATGAATCGCTCGATGTTTATTAGCGGGTACTACTTCAGTATTGTTTACCGTCAAACCGAGACTTCCGCCGAGACTTCCGGACAGTTATGCTTACAAGCAACACTACCCAAGTGTTACGCCGATTTTTCTGAAACTTTGCACACTTGTACGACTTCGAAAAATATTTGACCCCCTTTTTTTTTTATTTGCGCTCATAAAGCATTTTAAGGATAGGAACTACCCTCGAATGTACAGCAATTCTACAGGCCATGTACGTTATCTCGAACAATTCTTGCACCAGAATACTATCTCTAGGAGTTTTGTTATCTCTAGGAGATAACATACGTGGCCTATAGAATTGCTGCACATGGAATTGAAAAGGTCAAAATTTCGAGGGTGGTTCCTATCCTTAAAATGCTTTATGAGCACAAGTAAAGAAATTGGGGTCAAATATTTTTCCAAGTTGTACAAGTGTGCAACGTTTAAAAAAAAAAATCGGCGCGTAACACTTGGGTAGTTAGCTTTCGTATTTCTGACGTTCTCTTAACCGACGGGCGTCCGCACGAATATCGAGAATTGCTGCGTGCAACAGCGGGTAAAAATTTCGATCGCGCTCATTTCGAAGCTACGCGCGAATCCAGTCAAGCAGAGTTCAATTGGAATACAACTGCGAACATCATATACGTAATCCGCCGAGTATCGCTTCTACTTTTAGTTAAATAATGTAAAACTCGAACAAACATGTTCGTAACGTAAGTCACGACTTTTATCACGACTGGAAAAAATTTTCGAGAGACACGAGGACTTATAAGGATTTACCAAGGGGGAAACCGCTGAGGGAATTGTGATGTACAGATTTGTGGCATTACTGGAAATTACTGGGTATTACTACTAGTCATTAGGCCTTGCTGGGGGATTATAAAACAAGATAAAATAAGACGAAACGACATAAATACAAGATAAAATAAGGTAATAAGATAAAGTAATGCCCACTGGGCATTAGTGGGCATCGGTGTACAAGGTTTTGGTCAGCTGCTTCCCCCTCGGGATTTACTTACAAATATTTCTACCTGTCTGCGTTTGTTCCGTTCGTTAATCGCATTTCTAAGGAGCTCGCTCGGGGGACGAAGACCGGACTCGCAATACCAGAAACGTGAAAACCAGATGCGACGCTATTCACAATTTATTCCATACATAAAACGATATTGCGTATACATACACAGTTGCCCGTTTCTCTAGATGCAATCTCAAACAACCCTATGTAAATCGTGAATAGAGAAACACCTCGCGTGTCTCGTGCACGAGTCGGGGTGGAGACACACAACGACACCCTATGTATTCGATACATAGATTACGGAGGAGTATGACTGGGACAAGTGACGCGACATAGTTCATTTATCTTTCGCGTTATTCGACCTGTTTCTCAGGATGCCGTACAGCAGAATTATATGGCACAGATGCAACGCCACGCTGCTGAACACCGTGCTCGGATACGTGTTCCAGCACAATTCTATCACGCCTAGGACGGTCAGCTTGAGGACGGTCTTGTAGTCGGTGCACCAAGCGAGGTACGGCAACGTGTGGTAGTACCATATGTAGAACTGATAGTGCAACGACCTGCTGAACGTAATGCCGATCAAGTTGGCGACGAAAAGGGGATAGACGAGCAGCTGGCTCACAGTGGACGTGTCCACCTTCTCTTTCTTACGCAGCTGAGGCTTCAGTTCCTTCCCCAGGTGCTTGAGTTTCGCGTACGACTTGACATAGGTGATCCAGACGGGCGCGCAGTAGAGCAGCGTCAGCATGTGCAGAAGCAACAGGGAGACGTGCAGGTACGGATGCACGAACACCTCCTCGGGCAGGAATCTCCAGTTGACGGTCCACCTGAACTCGAAAATTCTACCCAGATCGAAGGCGCCCTTTATGTAAGCGAGGGGATTCTCCAGCAAGAACGGAAGACCGAGAAGCAGCTGTATCGACGCGCAGACGGACAGGTGCGCCAGCGTTTTGAGCATCCCCAGGGTGCACAGGTAGGCGACGAGAAGCGCCGGGGCGAACAGCAGGATGTTCATCTTGACGGACACCGCGAGGCTGTACAGCACGCTGCCCAGGTACCAGCGATTGTCGAGAAACGCGTTAATAGACGCGTACAGCAGCGCCATCGCCACCGGGTCGTTGAAGAGCCTCAGGACAAATATCGAGTGTATCCTGTAGGAGGTGCAGCACATCAGGATGAGCACGTAGGGTGGCACCTTCTTGGTCCGCGCGTAGATCCGGAAGACCAGCGTCAGCGTCGCCACGTACAGCGCCGCGAAGAGGTACTGCGCCGTCCTGACGTCGACGCCGCGCGACGTCACGTAGTAGAGCGCGGAGAAAACGTAGACGAAGCCGGCGGGGTAAACCAGCGGCCCGGTGTCGCCGCGCAGCCTCGTGTAGTCCGTCGTGCCGTTGAGGAAGCCCTCGACCTCCTGCATGTAGGCCCGCCAGTCGATCTCGGTGTACGGCACCGTCTGGATTACCAGCACGTTCAGGACGATCTCCAGGGCGACGATCAGCTTCGCCACTAGCGTCAGCTTGCGCGGGTCGGTGAGGAGGGCGGCGAGCTGCCGCCAATCCAGATAGTTCTCCAGCCAGCCCTTGTTGCCCCTCCTCGAGGACCTGCCGGCGTTGAGGTTAGGTCTCGCCTCCCTGCGCGGCGCCATATCGCCCTGCAACACGCGTCTTCCGTACTCACTTCGTCTTTGATTATTGAATATGTAAACGGAGACTCGCGCGACGCCTCGTCGAGCGAACGTTACCTTGCTTGTTGTCGCGCGACGCCCCGAGAGGTTAGCCGAACTCACGACCGGTTCATCCGCGTGGCGACGAGCAACCGGCTCGCTAGAGCGACGGTCCGTCGCTCTTCATCGCCGGTCCCGTCGCGGGTGCCGAGAGGAAGCCACTCCGCCGTTATTTTTCACGCGCCGAGCGGCGAACTCGCGTCTCCCTCGATGCGAACGTCCGCACTCCGCGGGGCTTCTTCCAAGTAAACATGGCGATCTCGCGAGGTAAACCGGGTAAACGGAGCCGCCGTTCCGCCGCGACTCCCGCGGTTCTTGCTCCTCGTACAGCTCAACTTTCCGCGTCGCTCGTCATCTAAACTTTAGACACAGATTAATAGGAACAGTCATCTCTATATAAAAAAAAACGAAGAGAAATTAAAACCATCACTTTATCAATTTTACAAAGCCAATTTCAAATTTAGTTAGAACTACGAGTTGCAAATTTCAAACGCCAATATCTTTCTTACTAGACTTCTGAACGGAATGTTTTAAGTATAAAAACGTTCTGCTGTGCGGCCCGCAACTTATCCTGGTATTATTTCGCGCACAAAAGCTAATACAAAGAATCACAAGCGCAAGAACTGCATATTCGACTGGGTCGGTCGCTGACTCGACTCGCGTAGTACCGCGCGGTCGCGCGCCGGGGCCGCCGGGTAAAAAGAGTGCGGCGAAGTGCAGACAGCGCAGAAAGTGCGCGCGGCCACGAGGGGTGGGGGGGGGGGGGCGACGAATCGTGCGCGCGGCGGCCCCCGCGGTGACGTCACGACCAATCGGCGCGCGCCAGCTGGGACTCCGGGTCTTTGACAGAATCCAACGTGTCGCGAAGCGCGGTGGCGAACGTGTCTCGTCGTGCGGGCAGGTCGATCCTTCGCCGAGGAGCCGTGCCGTGTGGATGAATTAAAGTCGCCGCCCGAGTCACCCAGCTGCGCCGAACGACGGAGGCCTCGCATCGGGAACACGTCGATTTCCGAGCCGATCGCAACGGTACGTGGCGCGCGGCGCCCGCGAGATAACCTACATCCGCCGGGGGCGCGTATCGCGTCACACCTGCGTGTCAGCACCCTGGCGCTTCTCCCTCGCCGTCGGTGATCCCCGCGTACCTGATCTTCGCCGGCGTCCCGTCGCCAGCGGGGCCTCGCTGCGAAAATGGTGTCTGACCAGAGAGCAGGCTCGGAACGTCGCGTCTCCCGGGACACCCGGGAGTAGCAGGGACGTCGTGATCCCGTGATCGCGCTGTGGCTTCGATCGAGCTTCGATTAATTCAAGTCGGCCCTCGTGTCCGTCTCTATTATTAATACCAGTGCGGATTAACTTCGATCTCGGTTTGACTTGGCTCCGTACTCCTTTTTCTAATTGTCAATACCGGAGGAAGATATCAGGTCGGTTGAGTCACAATCTGCATTGGCGGAAATATTACGGTGGTGACGAAACTCGGTGACGTTTTAAGAGTCGCTTCGGTTGGCTTCCTCTTGTCCGCTTTTGTGACAGAGACAAATGTGCTCGACACGTTGAAAGCTTGCACGCGAGTTAGCTGAGTACATCAATATTTATTAACATTTTAACGAGTATATTATTGTTGTTGACAGAACAGCGAAAAAGCGGAAGGATGGGCACGTCGCTAGTACTACTTTCCGTACTTCTCGGAATTGTATGCGCCGTTACGGCGCTGAAGGAAGGTGACTGCGAAGGTGAGAATCTCTCGGACGTGTATCTTTAAATTCAGGTTTGACGCAAGACTTGATGGCGTTTCCTATATGATTTTGCAGTATGCGTCGCCGTCGTGGACAAGTTCAGTCAGACACTGACGGCAGACGTTAAAAGTGACCCCAAGAAGATCGAGGCAAAGTTTCGAGAATTCTGTAAAGGCACTAAATCAAAAGAAAATAGATTTGTAAGTATAAGCTCAGGGACGAAATTGGTGTAGGCATCGGTCGTTTATTCGAAATAATCGCAATTGTCGCGTGTGCTTCCAGTGCTACTATCTAGGTGGTTTAGAGGAATCTGCCACTGGTATTTTAGGCGAGCTCAGTAAACCACTGTCATGGTCTATGCCCGCGGATAAGATCTGCGAGAAGTTGAAGAAAAGGGACGCTCAAATATGCGACTTGAGATTCGGTACGTCTAACATTCTCGTCGTTCTTGCGGCAATGGAAAAGAAATAGAAGGTCAAGCGTCCAATGCGAAATTGAAAATTTTGTTTCAGAGAAACAGATCGATCTCAATACGGTAAATCTGAAGAAGCTAAAGGTACGCGACTTAAAAAAAATCTTGAACGATTGGGAACAGACCTGCGACGGTTGTATAGAGAAGACGGACTTTATCAAACGAATTGAGGAGCTTAAACCCAAGTACCTTAGCGGTAGCTCGAAGACGGAGCTTTGAAGGATCGTTCTCAACTTAGACAAGCAATTGTGTTAGGGTGGCTAAAGTTTCTGTTTCTTCAATTTACGGAGGAATTGTTTACAGCATTTAGGATATGTATTTATCCGCGTCTATATAAGATTCGCGTACAGCTTTGTTCTGAAAGAAGCCGATCTTTTGGACAGACTGTCCGACGACGGTCTCTTCAACTAAGGTATTTAATTTCCATTGTATGGAGTAGAGATTATTATAAAGCGAAAATTAGCGTGAGGCAAACAATAACGGGCAATGACAATTTTGTATTGTTTAACAGAATCTTTTACGTCTCGGTAATTCCGTGGGACGTGTTAGTAATTTGATTTCCGTCTGAGGTAGCCATGCTAATAATGAATCTATTTTATCGAAGGTGCTCTCCATTTTTATGACATCAAGATTAGGTGTAAATTGATATATACAGCGTTTATATACGAGAAATTATTTTCACACAACATATTTACCTTTATTGCTCTTCCTCAGGTAGTGTAGTGATACGCAAATACGTTTGTATAATATGCCCGAACGATACTTTGTACCAAAACGCGTCGTACGGTGTCGAACGATATGTACGAGGTACTTTATCCACAACACCGTTGTATATTATTGCGAAATTTGATTTCTCTCTTATTTCCCCCGTTATGCACGAGACACAAACGAAATGTACAACTAAACTTACCAAGTATCTCTCATGGCCAGTATCGATGGAACTGTTTTACTTGAACGTGCAATGCCAATTTTTGAGATAAGAATTGTTTGTATCGATATACACCAACTTTTCCAGTAAAACGAAACAAAAAAAAAGAACAAACAAAAGTGTGTACTCGAAGTACAATGTCCTAAAATTAAACGTTTCGATAAATCGCGCGTGAAAAAAGAAATCACTGTAGATAAGGTATTACCGCATATCGCATAATGTACCCGGAAATTCCAAACTGAATTATTTATTTCGTGATAAGACTGCGTAATTACGTTTTCTATATTACATCCGTGAGTCTTGATACGAGAGGTCAGAAAGAAATAAAAAGGAAAAACATGTGTGTTGTTACAAAAGGCGGAGGTGTCGTTTCCCCCTCTTTACGAGGCGTTGCATAAAATCCCTCGTGTAGCCACTCCGAACTACATGCCCCTGCTTCCGTCACACTTGGGCAACTCGCTCCACTTCCCATCGGCTTGGCACGCAATCATTCCTCGCTTTTTATTGTCGGGGCACACGTATGTCAATTGATCTTGAAACAAGTACGAACGGCCGTAGAGCGCGACCCCCTGCTGGATCTGCGGTTTGCCGCACGATATTTCTGCAAGTGACAGCGACGCGATTTAGATAGATTTAAATTCGCTCCGTAAACGCGATCCGCGGGCTTTCCGTTTACATATACGCACTCGAACATCTGCCATTCAATCTGGACCACTGCCCGCTTCCCAGACACCTCGGACTCGCTTGCCCGAATACACGATAGCCCGGAACGCACTGATAAGAGATCATATTGCCGAAAGTGTAATTGCGAGTTCCGCTGACGTCGTTCCTCAGCACCGCGTTAGCGAGAACCGGCGGTTTTTCGCACGTCACAGCTGGAAACGTTCGGCACTTTGAATTTAGATATCCGAGAGCTTTCATAAATTACTTAAAGCGGAGGGAACATACGTTTGCAGGAAGGTATAGCGGACCACCTGGTGTTCGATAAACAAATAGATCGCTCGTCACCCTCGAGGATGTATCCGTGACGGCATTTGAAAGTCACGACACTGTTGATGGCTCTGCGATCGTTTACGTCACCAGTGTTGTTGCCATCATCGATGTATCCGTATTCCGGTATCTGAAATTAATTAGAATTTTATTTTAGGAGCGCGAAGCTTCAAAATATTGCGTGAGAAAAATCTCTCTTTTATTTTTTACTTAAAAATATCTAATTATATTATTTTAGAAACAAATTGAAAAAAGTTAAAAGCCAAATTTCGAGCAATAAAGGATGTATCGTTGAACAAATTTATTGTCCACTAGTAGAAAATGCATTGTGGACGTTTTGATTGTATTAATTACAAGTATTTTTCAACAAATCATTATAGTAACGAATATGAGATGAAAAAGTAAACTACATGGTTTAAAAAGGTTTTACGTAGACAGAATTAACAAAGACAAGCAAAAATTGAACTCGCGAGTTAAAAGTACAAATCGTAAGGGAGATCAAAAGACCTCTGGCAAGGGTCGGAGACGTTGATTATAAAGATTTTAAACATTCTCGTTCGTATTTCGGCCTTTGACTTTCTTCAATTTGTCCTTACATGTAACGAGCATTGATTATTTATTCACATTGCATTCTTTGCAATCGATATTGACACCGTCCGTTGACATTTTTAGAAAACTTACTTGCGGAGGCGCACACGATCTATCGCAAACATCTGTCGAATCGCTCAGCAGCTGTTCAAGTGCAGGCTCAGTCAGTGATAAATTTAAAACGTCCCATTTTGCAATCTCATTGCACGTCCATGTTACATTTGAAATAGTCTCGTTGACGGTCAACCTGTGCAGATTCATCTGCGCGCCGTTTCGGCACGTTAAGACTATTCGTCGCTCATAACTGTCTCCCTCGACGAAGATCTCGAAGTCTTCGTACGCGCGCGTAACGTTGCCTCCGCTGTACTCCAAGACGGCTTCGTTCCCTGATCTCTTGAAAAATTTAAAAATCGGATGCTCCGCGACGGGACAATTACGCGGCTCGCAAGACGCAAAGGTCGAGGACCACCTCTCTTCCTCGGTACAAATTCTGACCCGGTCTCCGACCAGTTCGTATCCAGGATCGCAGACGACGGTGATCTCCGCGCCGGAAACGAACGTTTCCAGGGAGATCCAGTTCGCGTCGCTCTCGCTTCTTCTCATTTCTTTTCGATCGGCTACCGACGCGGTACCTTCCATCGGAATTTCGATCGTAACATTGTCCCGTTTTCTGAGGAAGAGCCTCGCGCCTGTCACGCGACCGGGCCAGGGACACGTGCGCGAGATGCAGTCGGGAATGAAGCCCGTCCAGGTACCGTTCGCGGAACACTGTAGCCTGAATTCCGCCAATTCGGTCAGATTTTGACTCCCGCGAAATTTGTAGCCGCGATGGCAGGAGAATCCGACGATGTCGCCGTAGCGATACGTTCTTTCGGAGAGGTCGCCGTGGTCCCGAGAGATCATATTTCCCGGATCGTGAACGGAAGTCCGGCCGGAATTCGAAGGGACGGTGTAGCCGTGCTCGATTCTACACTCACAGAATTGTTGGACAGCTCTCAAATGTCGGTTAAACAAAACTACCGTGATCTTTTAACAGATTTATAATTTTATTTAATCCTTTCATGACCGCATTATTATATTTTTTAAGCGGAACACTAGCATCTCGAGGAACTAGAGAGATAAAAGAGCGGGATTTGCATGTTTCAGTGATCATGAAAAGATAAAAATATCGACTAGCGAGTCAAGGTATGTTTAAAGAACGCACTGTCCTGGCGAAGGGCATCCGTAGAGCGCGCAAGACGGCCTCTTGTGATCCCAGACGCCGGTCTCCAGACAGGTCAAGTATCTCTCTCCTATTAAACGGTACCCGGGATTGCACTTGAACTCCAGCTGCTGCCCGGCCTGAAATAATTTAACAGTCCGCTCGAAAATGTAGGACGTTTAACGCCACGACGTTCCCTTCGCGACGGGACGTGTACCTGTAATATCGTCACATCGTCCCTCTCGTTCTCCTCCAATATGTACTCTATATCTCCATTCTCCGGAGCAAGCAGATTCTTGCACGTCGTCCCTGTAGAAAGACGCTTTGACATTTAAAGTCGTCGAACCTCGAGATGCGTCAATCGCATTTATAATATACTCGATCTTGATATCGTAAATTACCCAGACAGCCAAATCTGCCAGAACAGATTTCGTCAAATGCCTGCTACAAATTTTGAAGGCAGAAAGACTGCGGATTGCATGCAGGAACTGATATATACGACGTGTTGCCAGCGTGTCGGCAGAAATATAACAAAATCTGCTCACATAACTGGACCTGTTCGACTTCTGCCGACCATCTGTTGACAGCGTATGTTTTACAGACTCTGTTGCCAAGACAAAAGCCAAATGTGGACACAGATGGCTATGGCTTTGGCTTCTGATAAATCTCCTGCCAATCCGCTGTCATTTTGCTGACTGGGTAATTCCCGTACGCCCTGTTACCTATGCAGATCGGAGGCAGCCCGATCCACTTGCCGTCGGAGTTGCAGATGCGATGGGGATTTCCGCGCAGCTCGTAGCCCTCGGCGCAGGAATAGTGTATCTCGTCCTCGAACGAGTACGAGTCTCCGTGAATACGGCCACGCGGGAAGTAGCCCGGGAAGCCGCACTTGATTTCTTCGAACACAGAAACCGGGATCGGTGAATTATTTACCCCGGGATCTTTAGCCTCGCGATTAAATCGGATCGCAATTCCGGTTAACGATTGCAGGACAATGGCCTTCTTCCTTGCCTTTCCTTGTAACACGATCATGAGGGAACTTACTCGTGCAGATCGGCGTGTCGTGTCCCTCCCACTGGCCGTGCTTGAGGCACTTCCTTTCGAGGGACCGAAGTTCCTCGCCACCGAACCGCACCAGGTATCCGTTGTCGCAGTAGTACGTCACCTCGGACAGATCCTCGCTCAGTTTAATGTTACCTTTGAAGGGCACCGCGGGCACGGGGCAGCCGCGACAAAATGGACTGGCTAAGATCTGAAGACAGGACATCGTCGTGAAATTCAGAAGAGGGAGGACTCCGTGGCCTGACAATTTACGCGTAATTACCGCAACGTCGCCGTGAATGTACTGCGGTATCAACGCCCAGGCTACGAGATTCCCGTGATACTTCTCGCAGGTGTTCCACAGTCTCGCCGCGTCGTTCTCGTTCAGAAAGACGTCCCACATGTCTAGCAAGCCGAGCCGCCCTAAGAACGCCTCCGATTCGGAGAAACCGCCGCCCAGGCGATCCTGTTCCTGCCCGATGACGAGGGATCCGTTGGCTGAATCAGACAACGCCCGGGCCTTTACGCTTTGCTCCAAATGTACAGAGATGATTCTTGACGATTGCGTCATTAGGTACCTTGCACGATGGATCCCTGGGCCAAGCCGACGCCGCTGTCTCTGAGGATTCCATCGACATACACGCGCCAGGAACCGCGCTCACTCTCCCAAGCGACGCACAGGAAGTGCCAGTTGCCGTCGTTGATCTTAACGTCGGTGACGACCTTCTCCCCATTGACGTACAAGACCAATCTGCAACGACATTTCATCCGGGAGAGTTCTTCACCGAGACACACACTGAACTCCGGCGAGTAATTACCCGTTGTAATCCGTCAGCGTGAAGGCGTTGTCGTGAAACGTCGTGGCGTACGATAATACCGTGCCGTAATTGAAAGTGTCCATCGATTGCAACCACAGGCAAACGGACAGCTGCAATTGGCGAATTCGGTGAAACGTGCCCGTTACCGATTTTCTCTCGACTTACCTGAAGGAGATCCCTCGCGGGTCCCTTGATGGCCACGTAATCCGTCGTGCCGGACTTGGCGAAGTGCATCACATAGTCGGACGACAGTTCTGCGACCGTCAAAAGTCTTTAACAAATACTCCCCGTACTATTTTTATTATCCAAAACTAAGGAAGAGACTAAAGAAGCTTCTACGAAGTAGGAAATCGACGAATGAAATTGCAGAAGATACTGAGGTTTCAACTTGCCGGTTTCGCAGTCGCGTCCCGTGAAAGGAACCGGGCATTCGCAGATGTAATCGCGCACGCGGCTGATGCAGCGTCCGTCGTTGAGGCAAGGCGAGCTCTCGCAGCGATCGATCTTGGTCGCGCAGTCCTCCCCCGTGTATCCGTCGGGGCATTCGCACCTGGACCGATCGTACATCGAGCCTGGGATCTCACGTTTCGCGGCGTGAAATTACGCGGACTACTACCCACCTGTAACTCCGCCGCGTCGCGTTCCCCTCCGCGAGGTTGACGCAAATCGCGTTCGCGTGGCACGGCAGCCAGTCGCAGGGTAGCAGGTTGCAGTGCCGGCCCAGGAAACCGGGTTTGCAGAGGCATTGCCAGGTATCGTTGACGGTACGGCACGCGGATCCCTCCTCGCAGGGCGTCAACTCGCAATGGTCCACCGGAACCTCGCAGAATTGACCTAAACGGCACGCAAAGAGATCTCTCGTAAACTCTCTTTACTTATAACTGTGAATTAGTGGACATTCACTGTTTTCAGCGACATTGCACCGATTGACTTTTAGAGAGAACGCCGTCTCTCATGAACGTTATCAGTTATTGGAGGCCATACCTTCGAATCCATCTCTGCACTCGCAGGCGAAGTCGTTCTCGGTGCTCACGCATCTCCCACCGTTCTGGCAAGGGGATGTGGAGCACTCGTCCACGTAGATCTGCGAGAATTAATTTGCGAGTTACTTAATCCGGATCTTATCATTCCGTTGCGAATATCTGATTTACGTTCTCGTACCTCGCAATTAGCACCCATGTAGCTGCTTTTACACGCGCACTCGTACGTCACGGAGTCGTCGGGATACCGCTGCGCCCTGCACACTCCCTCGTTCAAGCACGGCGAGGAGCCGCACGGATCCTTGAACCTCTCGCATTTCGAGCCTGAAAGTATAAATCCGCGTACGGCAACAGATTAATTTTATCCCGGGACAATGTAAAAGAGAGATTGTAAATTATTAATACAATTTGATTAATTCGGTTACTTCATTAAGAAAATTTAGGTGAAAAGAACGACGCTGTCGTCTCACAATTGTGATTAAGCGACTTGCCCACGTAATATTCGCGACACTCGCAAACGAAGCCGTTTTCATCTCGTAGGCACCGACCACCGTTTAAACACGGATCCGTTCGACAGTCGTCGATTTCCTCGTTGCGGATCGGCAGGCAGTCATTGACGTCCGCGGAGCCGCGCGTTTCCGTCGTCGTGCTCGGCGGACACGGCAAGCACTGACTCTGTCCGTAGTTTGGCTGATAGAAGCCGATGTCGCACGTGAAGCAAGGCTCCGTGCCCAGACGCAATCCGTGGTAGCGTTTGCGCCGAGAGTAATATCCTGGTCGGCACACGGCTGCAGGGAAAGAAAGGGAAACGTATTCCCTGCTTAAAATATTAGATAGAATACGATCGGATTACAATTAGATTACAATTTGCAATTTCAATGTCAATAAATAAGTGTCTTATTAATTTACCGAACCGGCCCGAGTCGAAATTTTGGCCCTATGTTGAATCTTGAAAGTGCCTCGTTTGCCTAGTCCCAGCTCTGTTAATTTACATTGAAATTGCGTGTAATCTAATGTAACGTATTTGATCGTATTCTATTATTTCAAACAGGGTTACGACGTCGAGGCTGGTGTTTCCGGCGCGAGGAATTCTTACGAATGCAGTCTTTCAATGATTTCGCGTGCATCCTCTTGGTGAAGGTGTATTCCGGACAAGGCACGCACGTCAACGAAGCGGCCGCGTTCTGGTACTGTCCGTACGGACACGGCTGGCAGGTCCTGGTAGAGGAATTGTAGAAAGTGCCCGCGGGACATTTAACTGAAGAGACAAAATATTGGAATTGGTATTTACTTAACGTACGGTTAGATTTTTGTGTAAAGGCCCGAACACACGAAAGAACTTAAGCAGTAAAACTTAAGACTTAAGGGAGATGACCGATGACTGTCGAGAACGTAAGTGCAGTCATTTTGAAGCTTAAGCAATGCTAAAAACTCCGACTAGTTGAAATTCCCAAGTCTTACTGCTCAAGTTTCTTGGTGTGCTTCCGGTTCATATGAACACGCGCGTCTTCTTTCGCGCTCACCGCAACTGTGTCTCTTCAGCACGCTTCCGGGATCGCAGAGGTCCTGCGGCTCCTTGAACACGAGATGCAGATTCAGAGCGAGCCTCGCGATCTCCTGGTTGGTTCTATTATCGAACAAGTCCAGCTTGCCCACCTGTGCCATCGCGTCGATCTTCTCCCTCAGCTTCTGCACGCCCCGTTTGGGATTGTCAAAGTTCTCCTCGATTATTCTACCTACGGGGGATTCCTTTGCGTCTTATCTCGTGGACGGAAATCCGAGATTCATATCTTACCTATAAACTTGAACTTGATCTCTATTCTATCTTTTTTCCGCTTAGATCTGGTATTATTTTTACTCGGATCGGGACTCGATCTAGCGACGCGTTTCAATCTTTCGAGCATTATCGTTTCGGTATCTCTGGAGATATCGGTGGATCGAACTCGTCCGTACCCAGGGTCGAATCTTCGTCTTCTTATTAGGTTGTCCTCGAAATACTTCGACGACGCAAGAGCGTCCTCGCACTTAGGATCGAAGCTGATCAGATTGCACTCGATGTCATTGCCGCATATTCCCAGCAGTTTCGATTTCAAGTCGTTAGCAACGCGATCGCTCAACTAAAAGAAACAAAAAATTATACACCTATTTCTACAAATAGATATATGTTATGTGATAGATATAAGCTCACTTCGCGAAGAACAGTTTGATTGTCGCAAATCGCGCTCCCGTTGCCTTGCAATATCACGTTCCCCTCCTGCGAGATCGTCTCCGGCGTTTGCGTTTCTAATCGGCAGAAGAAATGATAGCTTCTGGATGTAATCGTGTGATTTGAAATGCCAAATGACTGCTGATCCTCGATAAATTAATTCAACATAAATACCTGAACATTCCAGCAGATGATTACCTTCCCACGTGCGACTGCTCGAGTTACACTTCAGCAGCAGCTCGTCGTTAACGATATTGAGGTTCGTTGGCTCGATCGCAAAGTCATAGCCGTCCTCGCAGGCTACGATGCATTGCCTGTCACGGTCTCCCGATGAAGAACAGTTTAACCGACCGTTCGCGGGTGTCTTCAGACTTTCGCACGCATCTGGAACCATTATTTGTTACAATTAGATAAAATTGGATATATGGCTTCTTTTCCCCGGGCGTCTATGAATACAACTCGTAACGAAAAGATGTGCACCTTCTACAGTAATGTTCAACACGCAACTTGCCCGATTGCCGTACTTGTCGGTCGCGTTATAAAAGACCTTCGTACGACCGAGCGAAAAGAGGACCGTTCCAGGTTGGTGGCTCTGGTTGACGTGCACGGAAATCCTCGAATTGTCGTAGAACACCGGCTCGTCCCACGTGACGTTCGCGAGGCCGAGATCGGTATAGAACGTCGGTGGGTCGACGCAATTCTCGATTGTCGGTGGCTCTCTGTCTGCGAACGTTCGAAGAAATATTTGGAGAGGTAAATATTTCCCCTTGAGACGTAACGCGCTCGTCAGATCGTAGATACCGGGCTTGGTTGAAACCAGGCGGCTTACCGAGGACTTTAACTTTGAACTTGCATCTGGCCTTGTTGCCGCTCGCGTCCTGCGCCACGTACACAACAACGCGCGTGCCGATCTTCGCCCTCCAGGGTAGGACAACGTGCGGTTTCGTCCACAGGATGGGCGACGCGTCCGCGTTGTCGCTCGCCACGGGCACCGTCCAGTTGACGTACGCGTAGTTCTGTCCCTTCGCAGTCTCCTCCACGATCTCAGCCGGACACTCCATGGAGGGCGGTGTCTTGTCTGTACATTACGTCCGAAAACACGCAAGCTTGGATTTAATTTACGGGTAATTCGATCGAGATTTTAATCACTAAATTCATGTTTCTCGCGCAAAAAGGCTTGATTTCGACATTAACCCACGCAACGATTGACGCTGTGACGCCGGGACCAAATCCCCGTGCGTCCGGTGCACGATCTGCCGATCGGTCCTTCCAGGCTGAAGCCCTCGTCGCAGGCGATCGTGCAGTTGGTGGCGAAGGGCACCTTCGCCGGGCCGGTGCAGATCTCCGGGGTGATGTCGCCGTTCGCGATTAGCGGCAAGGGTTCGCATTTCACAGCTACCGTAAGACACGACGCTTCTGTTAATTCCTCTAATAAGTACAGAACGATGGAAACGTCGTCCTGCTCTTTTACCTTTGCACGTGACCTTCAGGCCGTCCCAACGGGACAATGGTAGACAGTTACGCACTTTGCTGCCGCGAAGCTGATAGCCGACGTCGCACCGGAACTGGCAGCGCGTGTCGATAGGGTACACGCTGGAGTTCTCCTTGAACTGGTGCTGATAGTCCTCGTCGTGCTCGCACTTGACGCGACCGTGCGTGGGCGCGCGTAAAGCCGGACACGTCTTCACTGCGAAAGGTATAACTGAGGTGAACTCGATCACCTCGCTCGAACGTTCTCCGGTTGTTCACTTACGCAAGCACTGCGGCTCGTTGCCGGACCAATTGCCGTCCTTGCCGCAAAGCCGGATGCTGTCGCCCGTGAGATGGAAACCGATCCTGCATCTTATGCCGCACGCCGCGTGCACCACGTTGCTGCAGGCGCTCGCCTTCACCAGATACCCGTTTCCCGGGATTCTCAACTTCGGGCACGTTATAGCTGAAAAATGGCACGTCCGCCCCGAATTGAATTTACGAACCAATAGTTCTAAGGTTTATCCCCTCACAGAAATGTAAGCGAAATAATTACTAGAAAATTACTGTACGTCACCCAGATAGCCAAATCTGCCAGAACAGATTTCGTCAAGTGCCCGCTACAAAGTTTGAATGCAGAAAGACTGCAGATTGTATACAGGAACCGATATATTCGACGTGTTGCCGGCGTGTCGGCAGAAATACAACAAGATCTGCTCACTCAACTGGACCTGCTCGGTTTCTGCCGACAATCTGTTGATCAGCGTATGTTTCACAGACTCCGTTGCCAGAACAAAAGCCAAATGCGGCCACAGTTGGCTGTGGTTTTGGTGTGGGCTTCTGATGAAACTGCTGCGAATCTGATGCCGATCTCTCAACAGTTTGCTAACCGGGCGGTAATTTCTAACGATTCAATTACTGAACTCTGAATAATTATTCAGTGCTACTTCCGTTCCCGGGCACTACATTTTGCAAGGGTCGTGAGCGCGTGCGTAATAAATTACCCTCGCACTTGTAACCGTCAGTGGAGAACCCGGAGGCGCAGACGCAGTCGACCACCGAGATCGCGGGCACCTTGACGACGACGTGATTCGCATCCGGGCAGGGTACGCACGCGGCGGTGGAGTCTCCGGAGGCGTTCCCCGAGGCATACGTTCCGTTCGGGCAAGCTGTCGCACAAAGAAAGACCTTCCGGAATAAGGTGCGTTGTCTAAATTGCAAATGAAATGTAAAGAAGAACAAAAAAGACGTAACGAGTTGCGAGTCAATCGCCGTGAATGATCGACAGGTCGAGGTGCGTTTGCACGCTTCAACCTACGTTGGCAGGAGCCTCTGAGGCCGGAACCGAAGTAGCCGGGCGGGCAGATGCAGGCGTAATGACCGGTCGCGGTACCGCAGGTGCAGGTCGCCAATTGGTCGCAGCAGGTTCGGTTCGCCGCGCTCTCCGAGCAAAGGCCGTTGCAGTCGGTTGGCAGAGTCACGGCCACGTACTGCCCGGTCTTCAAGTCTGCGAAAGGCATCCGACTCGTCACTTAAAATCAACTCTCTCTACGCCCACGTCCTTACGGGGTGGCGCTTGGCGATTCTCATGCCCGGCGAGAAATGGACTCGTCGATCGACTCGTCGAGGCTGTTAGATCGACGTTAATTCGACATGAACGAGGCGATCAACGAGTCTTTCTCGCAGGGTGCTCATGAGCTTCAACCCGACTCCGCTATAGCCTGGGGAATACTCATAAAGCGGCATATGCGACATGGTTTGGCAACGGGAAGGCGCGCACCGCGGTGCAGGGCGCGTCTCGCCAGAGCCTCGAACTCCGCGAAGCTGTCCAGTAGGTAGCTGTGCGTGTATCCGGGATGGCTGGCGATGTCGTGCAGCTCCTCCACGTTCCCCGTGCGTATACCGAACGTGAACACGGTCGCGCCCGTGTTCTTGAGCAGATCGGCCGCGGGCCGCGGGTCCCCGCCGTTGCTGAAGCCGTCGGTTATCAGGAACACCACCTTGCTCGCCGTTCTGCGACCCTTCTCGAGGATTGCCTTGCGAACAGCGGAAACGACCGGTTATACGTGATTTGAAACATTTATTGAATTGCCTGTGAAATAGAAATTTTAACGTGGAGTTGCTTGTGACATGTTCACAGTTGCAACCCAAGGAGAAGAAAGAGTCAGGGTGATGTCAATTTGATGTCATATTGGCCAAGTTTATGTCAAATTTTGGTCAATATGACATCAAATTGACATCATCCTGACTACCCTGATGGAAAAATTTTGCTAAAAATGTAATGAAATTGATGAAAAGTGAAATTAATGTTATTGGAGAAACAATTGTTCAAACCATTTCAAAATAAATCATAAGTTTCGTTATGAAATTCAATGGAATACTGCGAAATTAAATGAAAGTTAATTAATATTACTAAGAATTAGTGAAAAATTTTTAGAAATGTTGTATATTATGAAATTTGCAGAATTTCACTGAAAATAAATTTTTTAATGAGAAATTGCTAAAATGATAATGAAATTGGGTCAATTGCAAGAGATTTTCAACCAAATTTCAGCAAATTTCATTACGTTTTCAGCAAAATTTTTCCATCAGAGTATTTCTTCTCCTTGGGAAGTGTTCAAATTGCGTTTAATGATACAATGGCGTTTCCATTATAGTTTTCTAAGTGTTTGTACAATGTTATTGTCAGTAAAGAATTACCCAAGTAGAACAAGTTAATCACAAAAGCGTTCGACGTTAAAATGATGAATTTTACGTCACAAGATTGCTGTTTTATGATATTCGTGATGTATAATTATTATAGATTACATGATCAGTCATGTATTATGTTTATCTTATACTACTTCAATTTATTTTTAATGTGTAACATTGAATTAACATTGCTTTGCAAAACAAGTTCGTTTTTACATTCTGATGTCTTAGGTCCAGTTTCACCGTCGTTGTTTAACTTTAAGCTTAGCTTAATTCATTCTTTGTCTCTTTTCAACTATTACTTTATCGACATGTCGCCAGCGTGTCAGCAGACGAAATACAACAAAGTCTGCCCACATAACCTGACCTGTTCGATTTCCGCCGACAATCTGTCGACAGCGTATGTTTTACGGACTCCGTTGCCTAAACAAGAGCCAAATGCGGAGACAGATGGTTTTGGCGCGGGCTTCTGACAAGTCTCCTGCCAATCCGCTGATATTTTGCTGACTGGGTGATGCCATCTTGACGTGTTCACGACTAATATGTTCTACTTGGGTAACCAGATGTTTGCAACGCACTTGCAAACGGAGTAACCGTCGACAAAACTCTTCACAAACAATGTAACTATCGATAAGACTCTTCGTAAATAATATATGAACAGCATCTCTCATTTAAAATTTTCGCCAGGGCGCCTTGTTGCCGAAAGGCGACGTTGGCGAACGGGGAAAGTCCCACGTGGTGCTTACCAGCGCCTCGAGAAGCGCGCCGCGCGTGTAAGTTCCCCCGCCGCTGTAGGTGATGTTGCTCAACTGTTTGTTCAGCAGGTAACACTTGTGGTCGTTGGGTCCGCGCCTGGAGATCTGATCGACGTTGCGGTACACGCAGCCCCGACCGCCGAAGGTCACCAGAGCGATCCGCGCGGCCGTCGCGTCCACCGTAAAGTCCGACAGCAGCTTCGTCACGAAGTTGAGCTCGCTGCGGAAGTTGTCCGCGCCGACCGAGCCGGACGCGTCCACCAGGAACACCATTTCCACCTGGTACCGAAGCGCGTTCGGATAAAAATTGGGAACGTTCGCGATTAGACGTGCCTAGATCTCTCGACTTCTCTCAAGTCGCGTGTTACAACTTCGAGTGGGGACAAAAAGGGGGTAAAGGAGATGTTAGATTCGTTCTTTCCGCCATGCGGCAATGAACCGTAAGCTATTTGAGGACAAAATCTTTCATCGCTCGTATTTTCGGCCTCTGCATATTTATTTTCTTTTGCATACGAGCGAGGCTTAATTATATATTGCTATTTTAGATCCGCTACCCATGTTAGATCTCGGTCTACCTGCTCGGTCTTATTTCGTAGCTGGTCTATGTGCATCTTCAAAAGGCGGGACAGGATGTCCGTCTTGCCCTTCAGCATCCTGTCGGCGTCGTCCAGGTGCTCGTACCAGTAACGCTGATCCCCGTTCGTCGTCTGGTTGAAATGCTGGCCCGGGAGGGTCGACGAGACATTGCTATCGCTCATACCGATCTCCAGGCTATCGCTCGAGCCTCCGTCGACGTCGTCGGGGCGTCCGGTGATATCCCAAGATAAAGAGAGCACCCCGATTATCAGCGGTAAAACTCTGGAGAATCCCATTGTTACGCTTAACGATCACCAGTGATATCCAGCGATATCTCTTCGAAGACGAGCTTTCGCTCTATTATCGCGGATCTATTTACAGATCGGAGGCGAGCGGGACCGCGACGAGGGAACGCATCCTCTTGCCGTCGTTCGGCCGAGAGGAGGGAAGCAGAGGACGACTGCTTGTGCGCGAGATGAGGGCTGCTCGCCCTAAGGGTCGGCCATTGCTTTCGCAACCGCGAGGGAAACCGGAGAGAATCGCGCGGGCCGCTCGAGCGTGCGGACGTGGACGTTACTGGCGACGACGCGGCGAAGCATCGCCGGCTGTAAAAGAGCATAACGCGCGAAGACAAGGGGGCCTCTGTTACGCCCGTGGTTCCTTGACGCGCGCGCCGCGCGTGTCTGTGAGCGGTCCACGCGCGGGGCTGCCCTCTCGGCCCGATTGGCCCCCTCGAGCACGAACCGATTGCGACTCGCCGGCCAGCGGGCCGCGAATAGATCCAGACGTCAATTCCTATTAACGTTAATTCGCGCTGACCGTCAGACGACCGCGCCGGGCGGAGCGCGGAGTTCTCTCCTCGAGCGAGGCCACGTGCCGCGGCTTCCCGCTCTCTCCCCCTTTTGACCAGCGTGCGGGGAAGAAAAGGGAAAAGAAATCCGTATGCATTTAGGCGTGCGACTCGTGCCGCCGCGAAGGGACGGATTGGGAGGGATGTTCCGCGGCACGCGACGGCAGGAAAACGCCGCGGTTTCCGCGTGACCCCCATGCGTATCGCGTCGACGCGATTCCGGGTCAATTCCGGGTCAATCTCTCGGCTGGGTCTCGCGCGCGCGCGCGCACACGTGCATACGTAAATGCACGTAATCTGCGCGCCTTCCCGTCGAAACTCTGTATTATCTCGTTACGTACTATCGCCCCTTCCCCTCCCACCGTTGGGGACACGCGATACCGAAGTATTCAAAGTATTTCCTCCTATATCGCATCCACCGATGAATCACTTTCGGCTCGGTCGCGATCCGGCCGTACCCCGCGGGTCAGCGCGTTTCCCGTCTTTCCGACCCGGGCGATGGTCCGTTGAAGTCATCGGCGATTAGTGGTGTGCCATGTTAGCCGCGAAGGTCGCGCTCCCGCTCGCCGTGCTCTTCCTCGCGAGCCCCGCGTCGCTGGCGAGCTGTCATTCCCGTGTCTCGCGCGCGCCCCGGTCGGGCCAGGAGCGCCAGGAGGAGCAGGATCCGTACTTCGAGCAGTGCCGCGTCGTGGCCGCGTGGAAGGAGCATCTCGGCTATGTGAGCGTGCTGGCCTTCCTGGACCCGGCGTGGCGGTACAGCTTCCGGCAGGCGGTCATGTAAGCGAGGAATCAAAAGTCCACGCTTCTTCTCGCCTGCCGCGTTTAATTGTCTCGTTCTTTTTTTTTTTCCATCGAACCCACAGGCTGGAGCTGCTGAGCTCGCGCTTCCGGAAGTCCGGCTTCCCGGACATACGGTTCTTCGCGATAAGCCCGGCCTCCGATTCCTCGGCGGAGAACGAGAGGAGCGAGGAGGATCTCGACGAGATCGAGGCGTGGCGGGCGATTGGAGCGAAGCACGAGGACAGCCTCGCGGGGCATGACTTTCTCAGGAGCAATGGATCGGAGATTATCCTTTTGCAGGACGATCCGCAGTCTCGTATGTGGGAGAGGTTCCGCGCGTCGAGGGACCAAGTGGTCGTCATCGATCGGTGAGAAAAAGAGAGAGAGAGAGAACGACCCGATGATTTTATTAATTAAGTCCCCTATTGTGGGATAGGATCCTAATATGGGATAGCGGAGTTAAATTAATAGGCGTCATCAGTTGATTCCATGATGAATGCATTGCCCTTAGAGCGAAATCTGTTTAGTGTGGAGAATTGATTGTTAGATCGCGTAATCGTTGCGAAAGAAGATTTGTGATTGAACTTGGATGTTGAGAGCCTGCTGTTTCACATTAGAAACCTCTGTCTTTCTCTATATTATATTAATATATATTATATTTATTATATACATGGAACACGCGCACCGACTGATTCGCGCGCCGTCGCTTTCTCGGATCTACTCGCGAGAGGAGATAAGCGCGTCCTTGTAGACAATTTGATAACATTAGAGACACCGAAGTAGATACGTTGGTGCCATCCTGTAAGTAACGCGGTGTCTTATGTATTTTTATGAGGCAAGAAACGTGACGTTTTAATCCAAATAGTATTTGTCACTTTTATTTACAAATTCTTTCAGTCTTTCAATCTTAAGTTTGTAATTTTGTTCCCCCGGCGACAAGAGTCCTCCGGTTTTGAGCTGAAGAATAAAGCCTGCCTTTTAGACCGCAATTTTTAAAGGAACGATCCAATATCAAACGGTTTTCCAGTTTTGATTACTTTAGGTGGACATGATTTTAGATGCGGGAAGTTGGCGTACCACGTGCTAGTGCCGTGGAGTATCCTGTACTATCCTTACGTGAAGGCGGCTATATTGTCCACGCACGAGGAGGACCCGTGCGGCGGATGTGACGTGAGCACATTTTCTCTGTATACACAGAAGAAAGGCCCCTATTATGAGATAGGCTCCTAATGTGAGAAAGCGGGGTTTCTGCTAAATTAATAGATGTCGTCTGTTAGTCCCACCATGAATTCATGGTGGATGGCCCCTGGAGTAAAATCTGTTCAGTGAAAAATTGATTGTTAGATCGCGTAATCGTTGCGAAAAAAGATTTGCCATTGAATTTGGACATTGAAAACTTGTTATCTCGTATTAGAATCCTATCTCACGACAAAGGACTTTCCTCTAATCCCTGGCGAAAATAATATGTTTATAAGAAGTTTGCTTAAATGTTGAGTCAATGTTTTATTTGAGTTTGAAAACATTTATATATTATTTCAGCCCGGTGTCTATCGAGTACCGAGTCCCGAGGAGCAGGTCGTGAAATTAAGGAAGGTAACCGACGAGGAAGATGCGAACTCGACGCAGAATAAGACCGAAGCTAACGTCGAGGCAACGTGGACCACCGGGAGTCTGGAGAACGCCACCCTACGCCAAGATTCGTCGTCGGAAGAGGAGCGCGAGGCGAGCAGCGTATCCTCCAGCCTCCCCGAGGAAATCACGAACGACGCCGGTCTAATTGTCTCGACAGAATCGCCGACGGAGTCCACGACTTATCGATACAATAACAGCGCGACTGAGTCCCGATTCGACAAGGATCGTCCGGACGCGGAAGGTACGCCGGATCAAGAAGACCCGACGAATTCATGGAGCGGTGGTACTTCCACCTCCAGCGAAACCGCCACGACCTTTGAGCTGCAGCGGGATGTATATTCCACGGAGCAGGCGGGATCTTCGCTGGCGGACAATTCGCCCACTCCAGCTACCCTGGTGAAAGATTTTCTCAGAGTTTTGACACGAATTGGTACACTTTTCAGAAATACTGAGATTGTCCACTTCTTTTTGTAGAATTTTTTATATATGTGAATATTCTCTTTCAAAAAATTAATCGGTGATAATCCACTGATCGACTTTTGGAGAGATGAGATATAAATGTTTGAAATTATAGACAGTGAAAAATTTCAGAATATTTCAGAATTTATACATATGAAAAATTCTAGAAAAGATAGCAACTTTCTCGGCACTTATAAAGTGTTCCAACTTGTATAAAAAAACCTGAAAACTCTTGGAAAAAATTATAAAATTATTGAAACAATCTTAACAATTCTGAAATTTACGTAAAATGTATTAAAAATTATGAAAAATTTTCAGCAGGGTAATCACGGGGATCGCACCTTATCGCTGGACGAACAGGCGACCGATGAAGCCGAGAGCGATTCGACGCCCGCGGACGGAGAGACGACGTCGACGACGGATCTCGCGGACGAGGTTCGAGGTAATGACGAAAACGCGAAAGAATATCGGACCCCTAGAAAAGGAGTCTCGTCTATCGACGAAACAATTCGCTCGTTTAGGCGACAATAATGATCGACGATCCTGTGTTAATTGTCTTAATTATTCTAATAAATCGTTTGCAGATAGGAACACGACACCGGAGAACACCGAGAGTTTCGGGGAGGACGCTTTACCATTACGCATAATTATGTACGCGCCGCACTTACATAAAAACAGCAGGAAGACGAGGAAGTACACGCACTTGGTCCTGAAGACTGGCGATCCCGGCTTTCACGGGCATCTCGACTTTGAAGTCGACGTAGCATCAACGACGGATTCGTGGCCGGTATTAATTGACATTTGTTGTCAGCCGAGAGAAAAGAATTTGTTATTATTTTTTACATTATTCTTAAATTCTCGATGATTGATAGTAAAATTTCTCGTGAATTTTAAGGAAGCAGATTCTCGTGTAACAAGCTCCGAAGAATACGATTGGGAGACGACGAAGACGGGCGCGGATGAAGAGAATGTTAATCAGAAGTACACGTTCGACAAAGACGAGAAACCGGGACTCTACGGCGAAGTGTTGGATTATTGGAGGAGCTACGAAGATAACGATATCACTGACAGAAATGAAACGATTAACGATACGTACTCCAACTCAACGGTAATTTCTAGCACGCGATACACGCGTTCATATTATAAATCCGTCGTGTAAAGTGTTTTTCTCCATTATTAGTAATCGTCGTTAGAGGAAAGTTCTATATTATGAAATAGGTTTCTAATATAAGATAGCTGGTTTTCAACACCCAAATTCAATCGCAAAGTTTTTTCGCAACGATCACACAATCTAACAATGAATTTTCTACTAAATAGATTTCGCTCCAAGAGCAATAAATTCATGGTGGAATCAACAGATGATGCCTATTAATTTAGCAGAAACTCCGCTGTCTTATATTAGGAGCCTATCTCATAATTAATAGGACTTTCCTCTATTTGTCCATTTTTAATGGCGCATCAATTTAACACTTAATTTCGGTACATTTTAACTTTAAAATAAATTTGATCTTTAGACCAACAATAACGAGGAGCATCGTACTAATATCGATCAAACGAGTTTCTCGAAGCCAGAAGAGAGCCACTCTGAGAGTTCCACCGATCCGCAGAATATTGGTTCAAGTACAATTGAGTCCTCCAGGCCGATCAACACGAATAATCAGGCCGATAAGGAGGAGATGCAAGACAAATTAATTGAACATTACAGTAAACTCTTTTCTTGGATGGAGTATAAGTTAAGCAAATAAACTCACGCATTTTTTTAAAACAGCATCTTGTTAATGAGAATATATTTCTACATTTTCTCTCTGTTATACTTTCCTATTCAAGTACCATAGGAATCCACAAATTCCTACCTGATTACTCCTCGAAAGGGTGTTTTCGGTAATTACTTAATTATATTGAGATAGTTTGAATAAATAAGTCTCAAGGTTCCTTAAAAAATATAATTTTATTAATGAGAACCATATTGATTTCATATTATTTTTATCACAATCCAGATGCATTTATTAACGCAATTCGTTAACGAATTAGTTAGGAAGATTATCTTTGAACATCACGATCTTACACGTACAAGGCGAAGCATACGCATAAAATAATGAATATGTAAATATACAAAAAATAACAGCATATTACACTGCCCCTTGTTAGTAGACAATTAAAAAATTATATGCTTATTACAGAAGTCGATGTTTAATTTGCCGGGTTGCATTACACATCACATAACAAGTGGATGATTAATCATCGGGGGCCATCAACTTTTTTTCATTCATTTGGGCTCGTCGTCTAGATCGTCCGAATCTAAACTGCTGCTGCTACTGCTGCTGCTTGACGTATTACTGTCAGAGTCCGTGTCAGAGTCACTGCTGTCCGTGGAACTTGAACTGCTCGATAATCTGCATTTACATTCAACGATTTAAAAAAAGTAAGTAATACATTGGAGTAATTAGTATTAAAGTGCTTTATGTAATGCTTCAATCGTGCATATTATTCGGTTGTTAAGACTATCATTCCCAGGATTAGTATCCGGACACAAAAAAAAAATTTGGGAACTCAGGTTCAAATACTATTTGGATCCAAAAATTCTTGGCCAATTGCTCGATTATGAGAATTTTCGTAAGCTTCTTGTTATTTAAACGATATATCGCGAGTTTGAAATGTTTTTGACTGTGATACGATGAAAATTTGTTTGCAAAAATCCAAACAGTAGTTATACACAGTAAATATTTTATACAGTATGTAATACGAGAAGTTAGGCATGGTAATATGTTACATAAAAATACCCAGCGAGTAAAAATATGTACATAGAAACAACGAATATCAATGCCTATTAAGTACAAATGTGTTAAACAGCGACTGTTAACAATCAAGCTAGATATATAAAAATACTTACAAATACTTAAAAAATTTTTGGTTAACATGGTATACATTCTTTGGCCTTCAAAATAAAATTATACAGAATATATAGAATATTACCACGGCAAGAAAGTAACAGAGCAACGATTCTCTACTCACTTCTCCTGATTGCTATCGTTCAGGGTCATCTGATCAATGTTGTCGGTCATTTTGTGAATAGTATTTTCTATAACAAAGTCCTCTTCTTGAACGGAGTAAGTTGCCACTTCCAGCTCTATTAAATGAAATCCCATGCTTGCTTTGTTCGGATGAATCTATGAAATAATCAGAATTTAGATATACATGGGCAGGTAACGCGTGGCTGTGTGGCAATCGATATGTGATCGCTCTTAACTCATGCCTCGATTTTATAAGAGACTGATTGAAAAGGTTGAAAACTCGGAGTGAAGGAATCCAATACGAGATGATTGGTAACCCATTTCGGGAATTCATTTAAGCCCGTATCAGACTACGGATTTAGATTGAGATTAGACTGAAATTTGACCAATCAGAGTAAAAGTCACTAAACTTTACTCTGACTGGTCAAATTTTAATCTAATCTCGATCTCAACCCGTCCATTACGGTCTTAAGACAAGGTAAGAAAGGTGCTAAATGAATGTTTGCAAAATTCTTCAAGTAGGTACCTACCTCACTTAACGCAGAATGAAGCGATTCTATTACGGATTCAGGTAACGTTTGCAGCCAAATTAAAAAGTCTATTATGTACAACTGGTTTAGTACGTATCTCATTTCGTACGACTCATTGAAAAGGCTATGTATTTCGCAGAAGCGTTTAACGATGTATTTCCTTCCTACGAATGCACATGTTTCAGGTAATAAAGGAATAAGAATGTACGGACATTTGACGCTCGAATCTATACTGACCTAACGACAGGACGATTTTAAGGTCCTCAAACACCTTGATGGAAAGTTCCCAATTTCTATAAATCGGATAACAAAGCGATCTTCGAATGCACGCTGTTATAACTTCGTCTAGAGAAGTGAAATTCTGAAAATATTCGATATAGTTTGATTTCGTTCGCGCTCTTTTGGCTAAAAAAAAAAGAGGCTTCGCTCATTGGTAAACGTACTTGGAACCAACATAAGGTAGAGCTCAGTTTATTAATGGTCCAGCTGCTCTCCGAGGTGTTTTCTCCTAATGTTGTCCGGTGATTGTAGCAACTGGCGTATAAGATGTCGATAACGTTGAAACATAATTTTTGTACGTCTTTGGAGTCTAATAAATATTCTCTGTTTGGAAGTTCCTTTAATATATCGACCTCGGCTTCGCTTAACGCGACTTGGTCTTTCTGTAGCGTGTCCCATTCTGCCGCATACGTTATGCAAGGTTTAATGTTTTCCACCTCCACGAGATCTGCTATATAGTGGTTTTCGCAGAAGTCGTTTAGTTCACGCTGCTGCTGTAAAGTTTTTCTTTCCGTCTCGGGGGTTGTGTCAGGCGTGGGAAGATCCGTTATATCCTTGACCCACGCTGCCTAAATATACGGAATCATAAAACGTATAGAGAGAAAAGTCCTCTATTATGACATAGATTTCTATGTATGAGATGGCAGGTTTTCAACGCCCAAATTCAATCACAAATCTTTTTTCCGCAACGACCACACTAACAATCAATTTTCCACTAAACAGATTTCGCTCCAACGGCAAACAAATTCACGGTGGAGTCAACCGACGATGCCTATTAATTGAACAGAGACCCAGCTGTCCCGGATTAGGATCCTCTCTCATAATATGGGACTTTCCTCCGTTGTCAACAGCGCAATGAATTTGATTGAAACAAGGTACGGGAAGATTTGTCATGTACACTTTACCTCTAACTCTATTATGACATAGATTTCTAGTATGAGCCAGCAGGTTTTCAACGCCCAAATTCAACCACAAATCGTATTTCCGCAATGACCACACGATCTAACGATCAATTTTCCACTAAACAGATTTCGCTCCAACGGCAAACAAATTCACGGTGGAGTCAACCGACAATGCCTATTAATTGAACAGAGACCCAGCTGTCCCGGATTAGGATCCTCTCTCATAACATGGGACTTTCCCCCGTTGTCAACAGCGCAATGAATTTGATCGAAACGAAGTAAGGGCGATTTATCGTGTGCGCTTTCAGCGAGGCTTAACGATACGAAGGAAAAGTAAACAGACATACCTCGAAGGCATGTAAAATTCCGGATTTCTTGTTAGCGAAGCCATACTTTGGGGAGTTTACAAGAAATTGCACCTCCGGAACGTTATCCTGAGGTACAAACCATTCGTTTCCGGAATCGTCCAAGGCGTTGCCCTCGCAGATGTCCGCCGAGGCCGCGGATGGATTACCTGAGATTGGAAAGCGCCAATTGAATGCCGGCGGTGATGCAATTATACCCACGTACATTCCCGTGACTTGCCGATCACTTCGATGTTGGGTATAATAGCGCCCGCGCTCTTCGGCGGCGCCAGAAGGGTCGTTATCATGTCCAAATTCTCAAAGTGCTCCCCTTTGTTGACCTTGGAGAAACGTAAGGTGAAGTCGCCCTTCTCGCAGTCGTAGTCGCCGGAGGACGTGCTGTTCTCCTCGATCGCGCCCGGCATCCGCAGCCTGCGGGAGGATCGCGTTAATCGCGAGGCGATTACGGGGACGAAACTAGGAGCCTACGCGGAAGACTCGCGCCGATACTCACCGCAGGTAATACGGGGAGGCGAGGAAGCGGAAGTCCGTCCCGTCGACGTACACCTCCGTGTCCTTTATATTCACGTACGGGGCGTGAACGACTATCGTCACCTCCGCGTCGGTCTGCGTGATCTCGAAGCGCGGGGTCAGCATCGCGGGGTGTTGCGAAATTTTTACTTGTACCCGGACACCACCTTGTCTTGCACAACGCCCTGCGCGCGAGCGGAGTTACAGCCGACGGAGGGGCGCGCGCTGCGCGCGAGAAAGAACGGGCGGGCCTCGGCGCTGTTGGACGCTGTCCGGCAGGATCCACGTTGACGGGGGACACTCGACTCGTCCGCCCGGTCGTTTGATCCTGGCGTGTCGAACAGTGTCGAACGCGCGCGCACGTGCTCAAGGTCGGAAGAGGCGACACTGGCGACGCGGCTCTCGATCGATCTCGACGGGTGTCGAGAGAGGCGCGCGAGACAGGAAGCGATAGGATTCGAGGGCGCCGCGCGTCCTGCGCCCCGGAAGTGGAGCCAGCAGCGACCCGCCGCGACGCAAGGGTGAGGTTAGGTCAGGTTAGGTCGCTCTGCCGCCGCCGCTCGACGTGTTTGGGTTCGGCGTTCTCGATTCTCGATTTGTTTCTCTCACGTACTCGGCATTCAACACGCACGCAAGGGATGCCGGCCGTCTCGCAGCTGCACAAGTGGGCCCTCGGGCTCGGCGCGGTGAGCGGCGCGCTGCTGTATTATTACAACGCGCAGTCCGACCACGCGAGCTCGCTGCACGTCCACAACTCGTGGACGACGAATTACACCCCCTCGGTGAAGTGGGACCACAACTGGGACAGGTGACCTGTCGTTCGATTCGTTCGCTCCCTCGTTTCGCGCGAGGAACCTCGGGGGGGCGAAGGGTAAACCTCTGGTTAAGGGGATTGCGTGATTGCGTCGACGCTAGATCACCGTTTAAAAGTAAAAGAATTTAAAGAGACGGTGGTGCAGCATGTATCCTTTTGTTTGAAGAGTTGGAAGAGTTGACTCTTCCAATCTCCAAAGGTAGGATCGTTGGAAGCAGAGTTCTCTTTGTTTAAAATTGACGAAACAACGGCTACGTTCAGCAGAAAAAGCTGCTTTGCAACTGTTGTAAAATGCATGAAATCTGATTGGCGTATGCACTTAAATTCACTCAAGAGTAAGAGACCACACCAATCAGATTCACGAATTTTACAACAGTTGCAAAGCAGCTTTTTCTGCCGAACGCAGCCATTGACCAGCTAGATCGCTGGGCCTAAATTCCGTACACAATTACCGACGACCATCGATACGTTAACGACGTTTGCGCAGCTTTTTCTACATGATAGAAAAGCTGCGCAAACGTCGTTAACGTATCGATGGTCGTCGGTAATCGTGTACGGAATTTAGGCCCTGTACGGGAATTCTGTAACTTGTTATCGAGATTTTTCGATAACGTTAACTAGGAACAGCCAATGAAAATCTGCGTCTTTCTCGAAGATCGTTCTCGCCATTGGCTGTCGCTAGTTAACGATACCGAAAGGCATCGATTACAAGTTAAAGAATTCCCGTACTGATCTAAAAAGACGATTCAGCGTGCGTTCTTTTATTTAGAAAATCAAAAGGGCTGATCCAACCGGTAGGATTGTTGAGAGCAAAATTTCCAGCCGTACAACTCGTTCTGCCTTCATCTATTATGTTTTCTCTACCGTTGCCGAATAAAACATTTATACATTAATAAAATTCGAATGGCTCACATGTGATAAACACAAATTTGAAGGAATAAAGGACCAAGAGCCGTGACAGGGTGTTAGGGTCTAAATATTTTATTCTAAATTTACTGCGAAAAAGTATCACCTCAGCCAGGGTAAAAATAATAATCTTGTATTGCGACACGGCGTGTTTCTCGCCAAGTCGTTTCGTGTCAAAAGTAAAAAAAAAGGAGAAAGAAAAGGTACTTACGTCGCGTTTGCATTTGCAGACGAGATCCGAAGAGCCTGGTGAAGCCGATGAAGATAACCGATGAGAACGACGAGAACAAGTACAACGAGAAGTTTGAGACGAAGAGGTCGAAGGCCGTGCGACACGTGCTCTTGATTCGCCACGGACAGTATTACATGGACGGGAAGACGGACGTCGAGAGAGTGCTGACCGAACTTGGTACGGCGCCCGGCGAGCTTACTTCTCCGTGATCCAGCGTTAATAGTCGCCTTCGTGTCGTGACTTCTCGAGGGGGAAACCGCCGACCAAAAACCTTGTACGCCAATGCCCGCGAGTGCCCAGTGGGCATTGCTTTATCTTACTTTATCTGTACAACGCCCCAGCAAGGCCTAATGCCCCAAAAAATGCCTGGTATGCCGCAAGTCTGTACACCACAGTGCCCTC